GTGTGTTAGTACCGGCATATGTGATGACTTTTATACTGTTGTTATTTATAGTTGAGATGGACTAAATATACAGAATTTTGACGTCCCACTGAAGAAATAATATGTAAATTTTATACTAGTTGTGTTAGTTTTGTGATGTATATAGTTTAATATAACCATTTAACATTTTTATATCTTCAGTTACGAGGAAGAGTTATCATAAGAACCTCTAAAGACTGTAATAATTCTTGGCGAGAACATATTTTGTCATTTTCTTTGAGTCCTCCTTGATCACGTAAGAGAAAACGCGCAACACATAATTATACGGGTGTCGTAATCAGGGAGGCTGGAGGTTAAGACACACTCACAGCTCAATGTCACGCGTACCATCTATTGTTAATTGACCCCGACAGAAGGTTACCAGCCCTATACATCGTGTTAATTAACCTCAATATGACAAGTTAACATTGTCTTGTGTAATGGGAATGATTTAATGTGATAATTCATACCGTGTTGGGAGAGAGAAGGACGAGGGGCGGGGGAGGGTGGAGATGAAAAGGGAGTGGGAGAGGAGGAAAGGGAGTGGGAGAGGAGGAAAGTGGAGTGGGAGAGGAGGAAAGTGGAGTGGGAGAGGAGGAAAGGGAGTGCGAGAAGAGGAAAGGGAGTGGGAGAGGAGGAAAGTGGAGTGGGAGAGGAGGAAAGTGAGTGGGAGAGGAGGAAAGGGAGTGGGAGAAGAGGAAAGAGAGTGGGAGAGGAGGAAAGTGGAGTGGGAGAGGAGGAAAGCGAATGGGGGGAGAAGAAAAGTGAGTGGGAGAGAAGGGGGGGGTGAGACAGAGAAGGAAGAAAGTCAACATTCAAGTCAGGGGATCTGTTTCTTAGTTTGTCCTTGATTCCGTTATAAGTCAGTTCCATCTCTCATCTTTTTATGTGTGATGGTTGATAGACTAGTGTAATTACCGTACTGACCTAGTTATAAGACCTTAGTTGTTGAAGGGCAGTTATGCTTTATAACACCAACGAGGCTGTTTAGTGACTGGTTTTGTGAAGGGTTGTTTATTTATATCTCTCCTTAAGTGACATTTATTGGTAACTAATATGGTGAGAGTGATGGTGAGGATGATAGTGAAGTTGGTGTGTATCATTATGGCCAATACCCATCAAGGAGTATGTAATCCTGTGGTGGTATACAACATGGCTGCCACCTATACGTCAGAGTTTTCGTCACCCTGAATATTTCTCCAAGGCGATAGTTTTGTTCCGGGTCCATACACACACACACACACACACACACACACACACACACACACACACACATACACACACACACACACACACACACACACACACACACACACACACACACACACACACACACACACACACACACACACCTTGTAATGACCAATACTCCCCCACAAATGGTGTGTATTTTTTTCTTGTGACAGCCGTGTACAAAGTGACGCTGCTATATATGCAACTCCTTATTCCGTCAAATATGTCATGTCATTACCCCCAAAAAAAATCTTTCTTATTCCCCATGACGATGACTAAGCACACTGATACATGAGTGTCAATATTAGTGAACGGATAAGTTAGTGAAGAGCGAGTACGTACAATGAGGAAGTGAATGGTGGATGTGAATGAAAGGGATGAAAGTATGTAAAGAAAGGGAGAGAGAGGGGAAAATATGCTTGAACAGAGAAAGTGAAGTATCTGGGAGCCGCTGCGTCAGTACTTGCCAACAGAGATGTGACTGACCGGCCAAGCAGCGACTAACGAGCCGTTCAGTGGCGAAGAGAATAAATTATAAGACTATATAAATAAATTCATTCATACTATGTAAGTCTCCCATCCCGTGCTTTTTGGTGTTAAGAAAATGTGTTCTAGGGGAAACTATTTACCTTTCTTGATGGTTCAGGTTTTATTTTTATTTTTGTCCTTTTGTATTTGTTTGCATTTATCTCGGAGGGCCCCTTGTATATAATGCGCATAAGCAAGAGTCTAGACTATGAAGTCAACACGGTTAGGTCAGGTTAGGTTAGGTTCTGTGCATTCTCGCATCCATTTTCGTGTTCAGGATCATGACAATATTCTCTCCAGAAATTTTGGTTCAATTCCAACAGTCCGCCAGACATATTTGGAGGTAACAGGTGACAGCTTCATTGCCTTCATCATTGCACTGAGACTCAACCAAACTTAAAAATTTCCTTGTAAGTAGAATTAAGGGGAGGAGGAGGAGGAGGAGGAGGACAATTTACATAAAAACCCGTCCACACACACACACACTAATCTCCCTTGCATGCACTCAATAACTGCTTCAGGTAACATGTAATACTACTACTACTACGGCTTTCCCTCGAGCGACAGTGAGATTAACCTTAATCTGGCGTCTAAAGTGTGATAAACAGATACTTGATCACCCCGTCTCTAGGGCACAACTAGCCCCAAATTCACATGATTGTGTGATAAATATCTCTCTTAACTAAAGATGTAAGACTGTATCTAACTGGTCGCATTAAACTAAAAGAACCAAAATAATATAAAAACAATAGGAACATCGTAATACCGAGACACACTGGACTAAATACGTTCTTTTAGTACAACTTAAAGCATAACATTAATGTGAAGTCCTTGTGAATTCAAATCTTGGACTCTGATTCTCAAAGTCTCTTAAGTTAATTCCCTAACTGAGGATAACTGAACGCACCTAATGAGAGTAAGGTTACCACTAACTCTGTACGTACAGTAAGTAGTAGCACCAAAATAGCCCTGAGTGTATATAGTAGCGCCACTTGCCCTGAATTTATGATGTAACTTTATTGACAAGCCGTATTAAATTATATATAAGCCTATCGTGGTGTATCAGTATGTTGTATATGTATTATACAGCATAAAATGTTCGGCAAGTGTATTCGGTTAAAGGAATATTGTTTTATTTTACTTTACATTAATTACTATGGCTCGAGTTAATTTTTCCCACTTTATTATGGTTTTTGGTTGATGAAAACAGGGAATCTAATTTCATATTATGATTATTAATATAATTTCTGAGTCTGTTTTTCTCTAACTTAATTGTATTCAAGATGATAACTGCAGTCTATTTACAAGCTAACTTAACTATATATATATATATATATATATATATATATATATATATATATATATATATATATATATATATATATATATATATATATATATATATATATATATATATATATATATATATATATATATATATATATATATATATATATATATATATACTGTATATATATACAGTATATTAACACTGTTTCAGAGCTGATTCATAAACAGACTAGTACCAATTGCCAGCTTCATCTCCAATTTGATGATTCTGTACAGCACTATAAGTATATCAAAGGTGTCCTTTCGGATGAACTATTTCTTCAAACAAGCAAATTACCTGTATAGTTCCTTGTATCCTGGGAGGGGTTTCCGCTAGCTGTGAGCTTCCTTCACATACGCCCTAAACTTTGCCCATGTCACGTATGTTGATAATTTTCATACTCTATTAATTGTAGCTTAAAATAAGCAATAAATATATACGTACTAAAGATCAAAATTTCGTTTAAGCCGGTAAAGACCCACAAACGTTTGTATGTAAACAAATTAGAGAGAAAGCTAAACTTCACATCGCGCTGTTGTGATGGTTCCCAGGAAGAACAACATCGCAAACCACAGGTATATAATTGTTTCTTTTGTCTAAACGCAGTGGCTGGTCTGGTCTGTGCTTCAAGTCTTGGAAACACCTATTCATAAATACACTCGTTTAATGGAACAAAAGGTTAAGTAATGCTTCTAAATTCCTATTCTGAATACTCATGGGTGTCTGGATTCACCCCCTTTAACGTAAGGCGTTTGTATAAGAACTTTATTCGCATAGATTTAGTTGTGATTTCCTAATCCAATGTCATAAGCGTGTCTCCGGTGTTGGAATATAGGAACTGACTAATTATATATAGTTACGTTTTCACATTTCTGCTTGCTTGGTCCCGTAACACCTCCCATAGAGTTAGGTAATCTGCGACATTCTATTTCAAGATACTAGAGGAAATGGTTGCAGATCCGATAGCTCCAATACCAGAGCTCAACATTGAGGTGTCCTTGGGATTGACAGGTGGCCAATCCCAAGATGCACAGTAACATTTCGTCAGGGGCCTGAAACTGAGGCAGTGGGGCACTCTTGAGTTTCATGCTTCTTGTTGTTTAACCTGAGTCACATCGTAGTCATTTGCCTCTGACGCCTGACCATCTGTGTCCTTACATGATTTCGTTGTACAATACGTCTTCGTTATATTCCTGAAAAATAAATTTGACCGTGGAAGAAATCGGTTAGGCAGAGTTAAGGTTACATGCCAGAGATACAGAAACTGAGGGTAAATAACCTTTTTTGTCTATATTTACAATTTCTTTCCGTTTTTTTCGTCCCTCAGGCTCCGTTGTGGGTCGTTTGACCTGTGCCCGGGTGGGCTAATTCCCGTAAAAAAAAAATCTAGTTATTCTGCTTGTATAAGTTTTAAAACACAACTGTACCAACAACACAGTGCACAACACAGCAAATTTGTCAAAATTAAACTGATTACAACACAATTTAACCATCCATGATATAACACACCTTGATGTCTTGGATTAAACTTCAGAAATATCACATACAACCCGTACAGCACCTCAATATTATAATAGGCATATAGAGATGCATGTATGATATACTTACCACTACATTGACAAAGGAATGGATTGTGGTCATACCGAAGAAAGGAGGCCTGTGGCCTTAGTTCCATTGTTTTTATAGTCTAGTCGAGGGCAATTTTGGAGCCCAGTAATGTTCTAGTTTCCATTGCTTGAGCTGGCAGACTGTTCCTTGTCTATTATCCTCAGTGTGAAGAAATATTTCCATATGTTCATTCTATATGATAACTTATCAAGTTTGTAATTATGTGTTATAGCCCGTTATCGTTGTTCGTCCTGGGTAAAGAACAGCCGGGTGTGCTGGCGGGTGTGAAGGAAGGTGGCGGCTGTCAGCTGATGATCGCAGTTGTCAACACGGCAGCTAAACACATCAACTTGTTCTTTGTCGCCCATATTGCTGATACCATCACTACCTGCTCCTTCTCGGTGTAGCTGTTGACTTCGAGGAGGCGGCCAAATATACAGTGAGGCTGTAAATGGCGATGCCGGCCTTTGATAAACTTCCTCTGGAAAATGCATTGGAAGATTCTCCACAGGTAACTTATATGGCCATGTTAGTGTAGCAGCGCAGAACAAGACCAAGCATTTGTTGTTTTGAATATAATCCCTAATATGTGTGGTGACACTTGCTTAGTTAAATAAAATAATGTGTATGTGTTCATTTATATATGTTGATCATATGAGTCAGTGTTTAATGTTGTTCTTTTGAAGTGTATTTCCGAATACAAATTTGTTATGGTACAAACCTTTGTGTTGAGGGTAATCAGAGAGGAATCCCAGAAGATTAGATTAGGTTAGGAATTAGTTTAAAGATATAGAAATTTGCCATTAATCTTTAGTGTATTGTTGTTTTGATGTGTAACATGTATTTGAATTTATGTTTTTTTAATATGAAGGTTAGATCCCTGGTGGGGGTGTTCAGTGCAGACGCCCGAGCCCTGCGAGACTACGTGACCACTCTTCATCAGCTCTCCTCTAAGCTCGTTGCTGCTCACAATCAGCTCACTTCAGCCTATCAGGATTTGTCCAAACATTTGAAAGCTTACAAGTCAATTGTAAGTACAATAATTATGTATTTGTTAGGTGCAGTCTTATTGATAAAGGCAATTTTGAAACAACCTTTTGTTAGTCTTACAGCTGTTGCCTTAACAGTGTTGTTTGAAAATGTACATACAGTATGGTATTAATCCTGTCATCTCAAGTTAACCAATTTACAAGTTTTGGTTTGTGTAGAAGTAGCAAAACAAATTTATGACATCCACTTGTTGTGAAATTGCAACATTGCTGCTATTTTATTATAAGAACATAAGAAAATATGGAGTCTGCAATAGGCCGGTTGGCCTGTACATGGCAGCTCCTGTCGAGAGTTTCTACCACTCTCTATCATCCATGAATCAAGTAACTTGGTGATGTATTGTAGGTACCTGAGATATATTCCATAATTCTTGTTCACTTGACTTATTAAAGCAGAAGTCACTGTTACTTCTACTTGGAACCTTTATTAAGTCATTGTAACACTGACGTTCTACAACATAATGGACAGTCACCTGGATTAGCAGCCACATACAGAAAAATATTTAGAAGAAAACTTATTTCTTATTTCAAGAATAAAGCAATTCAGGTGGAGGAATAACACTTTTCTTATTTAGGTTTTTATCCCTAGTTTGTCCTGTAAATGATAATGACAGATATTGCCAACACAAATCCGATTCAACAATGATGCCATCTTGCACATGACAAATGAGAGACGCATCACTAAGTTTAGGAAACTTTCCCTTCAGACAGCTAAAACCTTCAGCCTCTTTGTCTAAAGCTTTGACATAATTTTTCATCAAGCGAAGCTTAATATGTAACAGTGAGAGATAGATCTTGGTAGGTTCTACTTATGGAGTTTGTGTCACATTTATTTCTCCTGGGATAAGATCATTTCTTTTAGGCCACTCTTTCACTGTGTAGTGCCTTGCAGAAGTCCAATCACTTTTATTGCTCCATAGACTTAGTGATGGTTGTGGTAATGTAAGAAAGAAGAAATCTATTATTCATGTCACTAAAAAAGTTTTGTAAAGTTGCTGCTGCTGTTTGTTATTAGTGAGTATGAAGTGGAATAGTGCTACAGATGTATTATTAATGTACACCAAGAGAAACGTTCGGATGATGACCTTAATGATGACAATAATGATGACAGGTAAACAAAGGTGGCAGCAACATGCACAACGGCATTAGCTGTATGTGTTTTTTAGCAAAATTTGCTTTATTCTTGAGGTAAGAAATAAGTTTTTTCTACAGATATTTTTCCAAAGTGGCAGGATAACCCAAACATCTCTCCTGAAATTTTACCTATAAATGATCAATTCCATACTAGTACAATTAAGAGATATGTTCAATCCTTTTCAGATCATCAAAGAATATATTTGCTTTTCAGAAATTCTCGGTGGATAATGACAGTGAGGGAGTTGTGGCATCAACACTTGATCAGTTTGCAGCACATATTTCAGAGGTGAGGGATCATCCAGTTGGCATTGAGTGTGGCTAGATTAGGTTGTTTCTTTGTATCTGGCACAGAGTAAAAAATAATCCATTAAGGTCCTGTTGAACAATTAACGAGAGTTTGGTTTAACAAGTGCAGTGTTTTCGGGTATGCAAATTGTGAGTGAAACAGCTTGCATTATTAGCCTTTGTTCAGTGACCAGCTGAGCTAAAGCACTTGTAGACTTGTTTTTTGTACTATTAGGTGAAGTCAGTGATAGGTAGAACCAGTCTGGCCAGCCACTGAGTTTAGTCAACTTGGCCCCCCCCCCTTTTTTTTTCCTGTGCACAGTGCTGGCCAGTATCACCTGTGAACTTATGCTGTCCACATTTCTCTTTCATCACTCAGAAAACATTGTAGATTCTAACCAAGTGTGCTGCCCTTAATATAGTGTGTTGGTGGTACAGTGGTAAGGCATGCATTTGTCACCACTATGCCAGACATTGTTAGAGGTAACAGGTATGCATCCACAGTGCCAGACATTGTTAGAGGTAGTGTTGAAGAATCATTTAATCAAAATATTATGTCCTTAGTTTTTAATAATTAATTTTAATGTTTGCAGATGAGTTCTTGGGAACACATAGTGGCAACACAAATTGCAGATGGGGCTGTTTATCCTCTGTCAAGATTCATTGATACTGAGCTACATGAGATGGACACCATGTCCACTCTGTATCAGGTGAGTGATCTATTAGCTTGTTTTGTTACTGGTTGGTGTTTAATTGGCTCCAGATAGCTCATACTTTGTAGAGCCCATGAATTACTTTTGATAATCTATTGAAATGATAATAGAAAGTATTTGAAAATGTTTATATCCCTCATATAAGGTGTTGTACTTATGAACAGTAGACCAGCCCTCTCTTCTAACTGAGCTGTACTATGGTTGCTCCCTGTGTAGAATTACTGATATGGAGTTGTCACTTGATTGTTTGTGATTAACTTAGCCCTCAAAATGTTTCCAGAATGCTGGCACAGACCTAGAGAGGGCAGTCACGCGGTACAGTCGGTGCCGTCGACGAGACCCAGAACAAGAACGCCGTGAATCCAACGAGGATGTTTACGTGTCCAAAAAAAAATTTCATCAGGTAAAAGAATGACTATTGATGCAGATAGTGTATGGTTGATAGATATTCTGTACTGTATATGTAGATGAAAATATGGTTATTTATTTTTTAAATGTTCAACTGGTATTGGGGTTTCTATTACGTACTTATTTGTAAACTGCTGGTGAAACCTATTGTTTTGTTGTGAGATTTGACTGACTATATTTTGAAGCTATTCTAAAGCAGAATAATTTTTCATTCAGGCAATCATTATTTGGTACTGGTAAGATGTTCTCTGATAAAGTGCTGTACCCTGTATCATGAGGCATGCATAGTTTATTTTCCTTCATACTTAACGTTCTTCTTTCTCTTCCATTCTATCTCTGGTTTTCATTGACATATTCTTTCCTTTGTCTCATTTACACTCATATTCAACCTTATTTTATGAGCAACTCTTTTGACACTTGATAGGTCATGATGAAATTGAGTAGGTATATCTCTTTGTTACACAGATATGCCCTGTATATGTATACTGTATGTGAGAGAACAGGATATTATCACTGAAAGGGACACTAAAGTTTTCTCAATGTGAGATGATGAAACTGTGCAACCAAACTTCATCCAACATTATTCATATGTCTTTTGGGCTTTTTGTGTGTGTAAAAGTATATTGTAAGCATGATGCATGATCTTATTCAGGATCAGCTTTGATAACATAGAAAAAATGTTCTTACATCTCAGATGGAATTGTCTTTGTGTGGTTAAAACCTTTGTGACCGTTCAAAATAAGTTTGTGGTCATGCTAAAAAACTAGGCAGTTGGGTCTGATGCCAAAAGCCTCGCAGCCATAGATATACTGTACAGTGCTGCCAATAGCTGACAATTAAATTACATGTGCCGGCAAAATTTACCAGTTCATGGCTTGTGTGTGTGCAGTATAAACCTCTAAATACAGGACTATTGTGTGCAATCTCTGTCCATTATTTGGAGGATTTCCCACATTCCTAATCATCAAAATGCTCATTTTACATTGTAATGAATATTTTACTGTATTGTATAAAGAAAGTTAACTTACCCTAATTATGGGAGTTCAGTACTTTTTTTGTTATATTTTCCTGGCATAAAGATGCAGGTGTATCACACAGATATTGCAGATAAAACACACACACATCTCTATGACAATATTTACAGGATCATGTCCAACAACACACTGAGCATAGTTTAAACACAAATATATCGTCAAAGTACAATTTATTAGAAACTCTTGTATATTTCATAAATCACTTTTTTCAATATAAACCCTTCAGATACAGTACTGTATTAAGTTACTTTAATATGCTTACTGGCGTATCTATACACTACATTTTGTATTGGTAGTGGGAGCGTTTGTTCATCTTGAGCCACATAATGAATGTACCGGTAGTACAGTCACAATGAGCTTATAATAGTTTAAACACCTTCATATTTTCTCTTGGCACATTTTATTAAAAATCTATTAATATTTATCATAAATTCATGTCATTTTATTTGTTCAATGACATTTATTTGACATAATTATGGAAAACTTTTGTATGATTATTGACTGATATTTACCTTGAACAAAATAGTTGTATAAATGATATGGGATTGCTGAAAATGAGTGTGGAATGATATCTTACGTGCCAGAGTGAGCACTCAGGGTCATTGGAGGTACATATCTCGCTTCTAACGGCCCACGTAGTGACACAAATAGCATCATTGGCCGGTGAAGGGGTTAATAGTTTTTTTAATAGTGTGAAGTGTGCTTAGATGAAATATGAGGGTGTTTAACAGTTTAAGAAATTCATAATCTCAGTGTGTTGTATTTGCCTTTATCATGTAACCATTGTCAGCCACACCGAGTCTGTCTAGTAAGCTTAAGCAAGCACTAACTGACCCCATGCTCAATAGCAGACAATGTTTCCAATACCAGATCTTACTGGTTGAGTCTGCTAATTATACCAGACAAAAAGACGTCCATTATTGGGAATATACGAAGTCCATTATTAAAGGGGTTCACTGTATTTAGTGTGATGTACTGTATGTACCTTGCATCATAACCTGGGAGTACAGTTCAGTATTAATCATTTGAACAATTGTTTTGCAGATGGCCCTTCATTACTACTCAAAGCTAAATTTGCTGCAGTTTTCTCGTAAGAGTGCTCTCCTGGAGCCTATGTTAGGCATGTTGGTGGCAACTCGAGCACATTACAACATGGGACATGACACGTTGGCTGTTCCTGAAGTTGAAGATTTTCTCTCCAATATTTCTGTTTGTGTAAAGGGGTGAGTGTATTATTATAGTTTTCAGGAAATGAATGAAACAACTTTTAATTGTCTTGACTTGTATTCAGTTGCCATGTCATATTTTGGAGTGCTTAGTATGGACATCTTATTAGAGTACAGTACAAAAATACAATGAGTAATGATCATAACCTAACAGCTGAGTGATTGATGAGTACCAACACTTTGAATTTGATTTTACCCTCATTTTAAGAAAACTATGGCTACAGTAGAAAAAATACACTCAAAACTTTTATCCTAAATGTTCCCTGCTGAAATATGAGTGTGTGTCTTATATGCCAAAAATTACAGTAGGTTAAAAATTCACAAAATATAAGAAAAAAATTGCTCTCTTCAGAAATTCAAGAATCATTTGGCTGAGGACATATTCTGTACTGTAGTTTTTAAATACTTGTTTAAATCAATATTATTGTTGTGACAGCGTGCAAGACGACCAAGCCAAGGAGAGAGAAGACACCCTAGAACTGATTGATTCCATCATCACACAGTCTCAACTCATGTATTATGCTCAGCCTCCCCCAGACCTTGCTGCCTTACCCCCAGACACTACACTGGCTACTAAGAGTGGTTATCTTAATGTCCAGAAGTAAGATAATAAGTATATCTCATACATTCCAGTCCATGAAATATTATGCTGTATTTTGACATGGATAATTATAATTGACAACTAAAAGTTAAAAATATTAGTCATAAATTCTAATCGTTAAGATGTTTAAAAATTGTCAATAATAGTATATTGACTGACTCGGCACCCTTAGATGTATTCTACAGTATAACACGTAATTTAAAATTCTCAATATTCTGTAAGGGTATGGGTGCTAAGGCAGCCCTTGTTCTTTCTTATTGACTTTTCTTAGCAATATATTATATTTTCAGGAAGTACATGGGGGTGATGAGTTCTTGGGAGCGACAGTTTGTGTTTCTAGAAGGTGGTAATCTGATGAGTGTGATGAAGGGCGAGGCAGGTGGTTCACTTCTTCTGGAGATTGACTCATCCACACTTGTTCACGCAACAGACACAGATGATCGACGCCATGTTTTTCAAGTAGCCACCAGCAAAAAGTAAGTGTGATTATATTAATAGTATTTAAAATAATTTTTTTATACTGTATTCTTTCTTTCTCTGAATTTATTATGCTTTAATTAGGTGATATCTGTGTAGCCTTTATTCAAGCTATCCTTATTTTGCTGTTTCCATCTTTCCAACCCTTGTGATCCAGGTAGAAGTGTTTTCCAAATTTACTCATTAATTATAGTGTTTGTTACTCAGTGGTAGAGCATTTGCTTCATTTTCTCCCTCACCAGACCAACCTTGCCTTGATCCTTATCAGTAGCTGTTGACCCACTCAACCTTTGCTTCATACACTCCACCCAACTTTCATATCACAGGTCTGTTCATGACAAGGAGGGCCCTGCACCCTTGGCTCTCATGCCTCAGCCCCTCACCACAAATCACTTATGTACCTCATGACCAGTTCTTGGCCACCTTTCATGAAATGTTGTTTCACTGTTGTACATGATATTGTTGTTCAAAATCATGTTGCAATTATCTCCTTGTTCAGTTTTTAATTACTACAGATATTCAAAATTAAGTTTTGGTATTAGCTTAATATACAAACTTGATATTAAGTAGACATTAGCGTTCATGTACTGTTGTGTTATCCTCAGTCAACTTCTTTGAGTTGTCTCTGCAATTAGGCTAATATTCCAGATCTGTGACTCTTCAAGCATTTAATGACCGTGAACGAGATGAATGGATGTTAACAATTCATAACTTGGCCAAAGATGGCGGCTACATCAAGGACGAGAAAACTGCCCCTGCTTCTCTCTTCTCGGGTGTGGGGCAGTTCTTTGTAAGTATTGAATACACTTTGTTTTATACATCAGGGTAAGTGAGGTGAGGTTGGGTTGGGGTGGATCAGGCTATGTTTAATGAGGGTATGGGGAAGTTGTCTGCTGTTCAGGTCAGACAGGGAAGTGATTTATAACCACACTACCATGTTACTGGTATGTGCTAATAACTGTGGAGTAAATCATTAGTTCTTCCAAAGTTTTATGTCTTATGGGAATGATCTATGACTGAGAGAGACAGAGTATTATGAGCCTATAATGGCAGAGGATGTAATGAATGTCAGAAATTATATTCAGTTACAAAAGTTGAAATTTTTAGATATAATTGATGTTTTAACAGGCAGACAGGTTCCATGCTGCTTCTGCTGCCATAGGTTCAGCTCCCTCAACCCCAACACTTGCTACATCATCCATTTCACCATCATCCAGCTCCTCAGCCACAGGGAGCAGTATATATGAAACACCAATCCCACCAGATACTCCAATAGTATTTGATCTGCTCACATCACCAGAAGAAACCTCAATCAATCTTGATGGGTCAGTATGTGGTATTTAAGTCTTACTATTATTTTTACCTTTGTTAGGAATTTCATTAAATTTATTGCTATACTTTTTACTTAGTTAATCACTACTTGAATATTTCTTGTCTTATAGTATAAAGATATTGATGACTAATCATTGTTTAATTTTACTGAAGAGATGACAGAAAATATATTGTATCTTATTACATTATTATTGCAGTGATGAAGGCAATAAAGAAAATGCAACTGAAGACAAGGTGGTGGAAGAGAGCGAAGGAACCAACTTCTACATTGTCCGTTTCTTGGGTTCCATGGGTGTTAATGTGGATAGAGGTGAGTCTTGGCATAGATGAACTACTGTTACGGAAACTTTTAACAATATAAAGTTACAGTATTTGATATTTGTGCAGTTCATAATATACAGACTCCAGTTTGATTTTACTTAGATTTGGTTTGAACAAATGTAGAAGCTCTATCCTTTTATATGGCTGGTGTAATTGTTTGTGTCTGTAGAAGACAAGTTGTGAAATGAGTAATTTAACAGAATACAGACCTGTTGTGTGGTGTAGTTTATTGTTGATATAAATCATTGAGAAAGATTATATCGAAGAACTTGAATGCTCAGAGGCATGTTGAAGACTGCATGAGATGCCCTACTGGTACAGGAACACAGCTTTCACTATACAGGTATATCTCTGGCAACGAAGTGGATATGTTCACAAAATCCACTTCATTCTTGGAAACATCGTTGTTAGATGTAAATTTTATATGGGGTAAAAGTAGGTTCCAGTCCTTCGTTTTTTTTTTGTATACGCCAAAAATTAAGAAAAACTGATGTAATAAACAATGAAAATGATTCATAGCACATCATAAAATACAATATTATACATTTTATTTACACGAAATAACTCCTTCTATCCTCTGGGCGATGTGATGCTGAGAGTGAGTGACACAGTTGAGCCAGGCAAAGACCCAGCTGACTCAGAGAGTGTGTGGCAGCTGCACTGTGTGTATGTCATGATATCACACAGGGGAGACAGTGTGCGACTGGGCTTATGACGAAAACACAGGTGTTATAAGAGAAAATAGTTACTTAAACCTACCTTAAAATTTAACTACCTAAATCTAACTTGAAAATCATTGGCAAAGAGGATAAAGTAGACTTATATCAGAATTAGCTGCAAGGCACACATGTTTAACCTAAAATAGGCCTAACTAACTAAAATAATAATAAATAATAATAATTAACGGTTTATTGAAAAAAGTTCTGCAGCCCGAAGGCTGAAAATACATTGGACGTAAATGACTTATTACATACATTGGTAGTTTAACAAAAGCCTTCATTAGAGAAAGGTAAAGGAACATTCTACAGTGAACACATAGATTAATGTAGGTATTGAACAGCAAACACGTAGTGTAGTAACTCCCTCCCAGATGGTGTTAGGAGGGGCCTCACGTTGTGTAGTAGTTCCCTCACAGATGGTGTTATGAGGAACCTCATGTGGTGTAGTAATTCCCTCACAGATGGTGTTATGAGGGACCTGATGTGGTGTAGTAATTCCCTCACAGATGGTGTTATGAGGGACCTCAAGTGGTGTAGTAATTCCCTCACAGATGGTGTTATGAGGTGACCTCAAGTGGTGTAGTAGTTCCCTCACAGATGGTGTTATGAGGAACCTCATGTGGTGTAGTAATTCCCTCACAGATGGTGTTATGAGGGACCTGATGTGGTGTAGTAATTCCCTCACAGATGGTGTTATGAGGGACCTCAAGTGGTGTAGTAATTCCCTCACAGATGGTGTTATGAGGGGCCTGACGTGGTGTAGTAATTCCCTCACAGATGGTGTTATGAGGGGCCTGACGTGGTGTAGTAATTCCCTCACAGATGGTGTTATGAGGAACTAAGTCACCAGATGCGTGCAATTGACAAACCGCCTCCACACCTACGTTAACCTCCCATACAGAATACACACCCATGCTCTTCATATTTCTTAATTTATAGTGTTATAATATATTTTCTTTATTTGTAAGTCACTTTAGAGCATTGAAATTATTTTTCCACAACTTTTACAGTTTCATTACATGTAACAATGGCAACGTGTGTAGCCATGTCACAGGCCACAGCTGACTGGGGACATGTTTTGATTGGCTGAAATCAAAGCAAACACCCATGGCGATGCATTCTTGTTGAATTCCACTTGTTTTCCTTGTGTTTTTTTTTTCTAAAAAAAATGGAGGGGGGGGGGAAACGAACTTCATAATTAAGAGGCTTTGTTGCCAGAAGTATACTTGTAAATTAATGAATTATCACTGCAAAAGCTCACTCATGAAGACTCAAACCTAATATTAGCAGACAGTCCCAGGCAATAACCATTCTGCCACCAGCCTAGGTTGTCACCTTGGACTAGCACTTAATAGTGTAGGGTTTAAGCATGGCTTGAAACGAAGCTTTTCTTGCTGTTGTCTAAAATATTTCAAGGTCATACCACCAGGAAAAATTTTGTAATTCATGCCAAAAGCTTATTTTTTGTTCCCTTTTCTGTGTCTCATCTTTTTCCATTCTCTCCTCCTTTTTCTCTTTTCCTTCTCATTAAGCCTTATTCTCTTGCTTTCATGTTTAAATCTGTATACTGTACCTTCCTAGATATGAGAGTACCTAACATTTTCAGGCTTACAATTCTCCTCCTGATAGGGAGCTGTTACATTGGCATTAATACATCCAGAGAACACTGATTAATTTTGTAGATTTTTGTAATTATTATAATTTTCATGTGAGAGAAACAAGACTGAAGGATGATGTTGAATTTGAGAATGTTTTGTATCACCAAATGGTATTGTTGTGGGAAATTCACATAGGAAACTTTTTATTAGAACTACAAAAAAAAATCTCTTTCCCTCTTACAATTTTGATTATGCGAGGGAAATTGGCCAAACTTTTGTAACTTACTATCTACGGTATTTTGATAAACTGTCATAGAAAGGATAGCCTTCCACTTTTAAATAAGAGATGGATTACAGTAGAACCTCTATACACCAGAATTTGCATTTGTCTGACTCTTTGTGCTACTCTGGACCGCTCCTCTATTCACCAGAAATATTTTATAAAGTCCAGAAATCCAGCATCATTCTGGATGGTTTTTGTGTTCGTAGGTGCGGTTGAACATCTTTGCATGGGTGTCACACGGCACGCTGCATATCTCGGTCTGTGTCCTGCTTTCATACTTATAGTGTTAGTGCACCGCACCTCACTACCTATTGTACACTTATTTACGTCAACTTTACGTGTACAGTACCATACATAATTTAAGAAATTGACAAAATTATGTGGAATATCTGTACCTACTTTAAGAAATATGTTAATTAAAAAAAAGAATTGGGTAAGAACAACACTTGTTCCAAGAATACTGAACAATGCTCTAATCAGATATGCTATAGGCCTAACCAGTATGAGAGCTAAGACACTCCATATGTAAACAGGCTGGTGGTGGAGGAGGAACCAGTCATTGCTGTATTCGCCAGGTTTATTTATTGATTCATTTTATATTCTCGTATGATCAGCCTCTCATGATATGAGTCATCATAATTAATATAACATAGGTATTTAGCCCTTAAACCCAGGTTAGGGTGGTGCTGGCAGTACCGTACCACCAACCCCCCACAGGGAAAAATAAAAACAAAGACAACTTTTCCAAAAATAAGGAATTTAAAAAAAAAAAAAAAAAAATGGCGGGAATAGGCAGACGTTCTGGAACGTCACCCGGGGCCTAAGGGTTAATAATAATAAAACTACAGTACAGTATATAATTTGTAATTTAACTTAAAATAAAAGGATAAGCTGCATTGGAAGGTTCACTCAGGATGCATTCCTGGAGAGAACTTTTGGTAAATCAGCTGACAACAGGATCAATATAACATGCAGTACTGTATAGTATAGTACCTGTATTTGGTATGGAGATACATTCTTAACAATGTTATTTATTACCTTTGAGTGATACATGATGGCTCAATTTGGCTGCTTGTGCCCTTAGACAATTGGTTAATGAAAAAATCAGGGTACGTATACGCAGCCGCACAATATACTAAAATATTATTTATTAAGTGCTGGTAAATACATTACAATATTATTTACTAAGTGCTGGAGACAGATGTTGTAGTAAGCATGAGAGAGAAAGAGCGCTGTTAACATGGAAAAGGAGAGTGAGAGCGATCAGCTGTTTGGCTATGTAAACAAGGAATTGAATACGACTCAAATCCAAGGGAACCTAAATAATGTAGGAATTATGGTGAAATTTCATAAAGACATATTAAGGGGTTCTGGGGGAGGGAGCCACCCACCTGCGTTACCTCCCGCCTGCTGCTCCCAGATACACTCATCTCCCAGTTATTTCTTTATTCATAAGGCACATGAGCACATTCAAATAACTTTCCACAAATTCTGTGGTTATCAGTACAGGGTACTTACATATACAGCCACTCCTCGACTTACGACCACCCGGACATACGACCGCCGCAGTCGTACCAAAATTTTTTCAAATTACGTATTTTCGAGTCCTGACGTTAGTGATTGCGCTGTGTACTGACAAAATTTTCGTTTTTAATTCCCTTTAAAATGGCTGGCAAGCTTAAAAGTGAGAGTTTTGTGGTGCTGAAAAGAAAAAGAGACACCCATTTTAGATTTTCTATGTACAACCTATATTATTTTCGCATTTTCGACTTACGACCAATTCGACTTACGACCTGGATTTGGGTCCCTAACCCCGCCGTAAGTCGAGGAGTGGCTGTACTGTAACAGGACAAAACAGTTATATCTGTGAAAACAGTTGACAACAATCAGACTTAAGTCTGATTTTCTTGAAACAGTCCAGATAAGCAGGGGTTACATCCTGCCCCCCCCCCCCCAGACTTTTGCTTTTTCTGGACTGGGTTCTACCCCAATTACTGTAGTCTGGTGTATCAAGGTACTACTGTACTGTAATTAAAAAGTTTTCATTATTGAAAATAGGAAATCATCAGTCAGCATGATGTAAAATATCTCCCTCTTTTTTTTTTCAGTTTCAAGATTGAATGTTGTTTATGAAATGTTTGTATACAGTATTTATATTGTACTTTGCTGATGCTTACTTGCAAATTAGTTTGTGTTCTGCCAATGGCATTACTTTGTCATTAACCTTAAAGAAAATTGATTTTTTTGTCACCTTCCTTTCAGTTGTTTCTTTCATAGATGGTGAGTGATTTTATTCAGTTGTTCAGTTGCTTTAGTGTAATCAGTACTGAGCATCTTGTAACTGCACTTGAAGGTTCTTGTAGAATGTGTAAAGTGCTGTCAGTTCCAGGCTTCAGTTTCAGTTTGAAACTGATCTGCATTTTTTGAGTGAAACCTGGTAAAACCTTCTTGGTCATTTTATTCAAAGTAGTGTCTGTAGTTAGATAAGCCATTTAAGGGATTACTGCTAATGATTTGAAGCATTGGGTATTGACAGCTAGACTGAAGCTGTAGGTGAAGGTATTTTAGGTTATTGTGCTGTTCTTGGCTTCATGGAATATTCAGATTTAAGCAATTTGTTCATGTTTAAAAACTGCATGCCATCATTATTGGAGCTAAACATGGAAATTCCCCTTCAGTTGTGAAGGTCCAACTAAACCCTCTTCACTGAATTAGTATCAGCTGGAGGGAGAAGTGTGGGTTCATTGGATTGTAGCAATTATTATTTTTTTAATCTGTATGGTTGATGTGTTCCTCTTCCGTATATGCTTGCCTAAGATATGGAATATGGGAAACGAAAACATATTACTGTACTATGACAGAGTATAAAACATGTTTAGAATATTTCCTGTGTTTGCTAGTTAATATGCCTACCTGGTGTTTTTAAGATCTCCAATGGAAATTTTACTTTTTTGGTAGTGCCAGATGCATGTTGCAAATATTATATCACAGCAGTGCATAGTCATGTGTGAATAGTGATGTTATTTAGTGTAAAGCAACTTTGTTATGCAGTAAATGCTTGAATATAGAATTACAGAATGGTTTGATAATCAAGTGAATGCAATGTAGTAGTCTATTAAGAGTGTATGTTCGCTGTGCAAGAGACTGTCTTGTCATATCATGGAATTACTTGCAGTATGAAAGTATTACCGGTATGTATTATTAAACTTCATTGCATCATTTTTTTTTATCCATGTTTATCATAACTTATGTGGTGCATGATCCATGTAGTCTTAGGAGTAGATCATCTACTGCCCCATCTTTAACCATGTAGAAGTGACATCATTCTGAAGAAGAGTGTCAGTTCTCAGGTTTACCACAGACTAACAACCTGCCAAGCCTTCAGGAATGAACTACGGGTATTGTCACTAAATCTGTTCTTACAGTGAGGGTCTTATCATCTTGTGTACTTTAATCAAGCAGTGGTTCCTAGTCTTTTTGAGTTATGCACTATACTGGTAGCCTGTGTCTCCACCACCTTGTGTACCGCCTCACATCTAAACTCTTATTGTAACTTTGTTAAACATAACTATTAAGTCTGATAAAATGTATCATTTCAGTGGCTCTTGTGTGCCACCTTGGTAAGCATACCAACTGTTAGGAACCACTGTATATGATGAAAAATTATCACATTATGATTTATCTTGCAATACAGTATTTAGTATCTACTGTATAGTATTCATAATTTTTAAAGGTTAACCAGTAAAAATCATTAACTATTTGCAGTACCATAGCTGATCTACTAATACTGTATTTAGTGACAAGCTGCTTTATTTTCTATAACAAAGGGAATTGAAAATGTTAAAGAAGATAGTTTCATGTTGTTCATTTCACCTGACTGTTCAAAATAGGCATTTAACCTTATGTAGGCTAGAATGTAAATAAACATGCGAGGGCCTATTAGACTATGATGTACATTGATGTTTTGTAATTTGTACCTAATCTTTAAATGATTTAATAGTGTATGAAGTATGGCAAGTTGCCAAAAGTCATTATCATCTCAAAAAACTCCCAAGTATTTCCAAGAACTCAGTTACCCATAAGCAGTCATGGTGACAAGACCTAGCCGGCATGAGCGTGCATTCTCAAAATTTTAGTCTTTTGGGACAATGACATAATGAATGTACAGTCTACATAGGGTTAACAGACAAAGAATAAACTCAAATTTGTGGAACAAATGGTTCCATATGGGTTCCCATTTTTAATTAATTTTTGTAGTACAAATAACCCTCATTATATGTATGGGTTAAGTTCCTTTAAAACCATTCAGTTATCACATTTTTGGATAGTGAATAACATGATAAATAGGAGAAATAGGGTTCAGTTCCAAAATGACAACAAAAAATTATACCTAAACAGAGTTAAATTGGTTCACCAACAACAAAATACAAGAGGTCCTCCTCATCCCAGGCTAATAGGAACTGGAAAATTGACAATTAAAGCTGGGGATTTCTGGCTATAACAGATAATGGAAATACAGTTTGATTGGGACAATAAGATCCTAAATGGCACTCAGAAAGAATATTTTTATACCTTTTAGCATTTGTACTTGAGAATCTGAAGAGCACTTGAGATGTCTATCGCACGTTCACTTTTCTTCCGATGAATAACATCTAATTTCACGTCCAGTCCATAATTGCTACGTTTCCTTTTAGGCAGGGCACTTGGTTTAGCACTAGCACTATGCTTTCAACTCATGACTAAAACAATAGTAATGATTTTTGAAGAATGCACACAAAAAACAACAGAAAACTGCAGGAGGTTAGGCATTGTTTATGGTGGGAAACAACTTAGAGTGAGTGCGCAGTGTGGATATGGGATTGAGCATTGGTATAGTGGGAGATTTGAATCATTCTCTCTTGAGACTTCCATGTTCCACGGATATTCCTCATAATCCTCATCAGTGTAGGTAATTGTTGATCACTATGCCTTCTGAATTTCATATGGGTCTTTGCCTTCGATCAGCTGAAGTTTATCACTGTATTGTGTCCTAGAAATGGTGTCTAAGGAATCTGCTTACTTCTGTTTAGTAGGTTTAGCCGTTTCTACCTCAGGGTCATTCATTGCGGTGAAAATGCATTGATTTTATGAAATCCTAGCTCTTATACGTTACCTTCAAGATGGCAAACCAAACATGGCATGCTGAGTAGGTGTGACATAACTGCAAACTATGATGAGAATTTTCAGATAAGTGAACTTTTGGGTAGCAAACAGTGATATAGTGAGGGATACCAGTAAGTGTATTTGAAGTTTGTTAAAGTGATGAGTGGTTTAGTTGGGCCAGCTGGGATTGTAGTTTTTGTCAGGGTATCAAAGCATGGATTGCACCCACCCACTTACATCACTGCCAGAATGAAAATAATTTATTGTGTTAGGGAAGAAATCTTTTTTATTTATTTCTGCTAATGGAATTTTGGCTTGAGAAAACCTTCAGTCCAAAATACCTCTGGTTGATTAAAGATCTTTATGTATTAAGAGTATGATAAAAGTTCAGCCTGTATGGAAGTTATGCCCCTTAGAATTTTCTCTTAAATGTGTGTGATTAACCTGACCTGTGTAAGTGTAGGTGCCCAACATGATGGAATATATAGTGTCTGTGATGTTATGTGGAGTAATCAGTGTTTTGCAGTTAGAAATAAGTGAATTTCTACAGGCCAAGGCGTAGTCTGTGAGGTGATGAGGAGGATCTTAGCTGCTCGAGCCATCCACAATGTTTTCTCCACCACCGAGCTGCGATTCTCCACTTCCAACTCCCACCTAATACTGTCTGACAGTACCACCAAGGCTATTCGTCTCCAACACAAACTGAGTGCTGTCGCTTATTGGGCCACACATAGTGAAAACCACAAGTAAGTCCCCCCTCGTCACGTACCAACCTTAATGCAGGATTACCGATGGCCGAAATCAAGAGTAAAACCGACTCTGTCTTGTTTGTTGTTATTTATTTATTGTAGCTGCTGTAACTTATGTGATATTCTATGGTGTTCCCTTTCCATAACAAGAAGTAAGAAAAAGTGACATATTCTGTATATATTCATCACCTGGGCAAGTGACAAGAGTAGAAAGTGACAGGAAAGGGCTAAGACAGATAAAACTCCTCCCACACTGTTGCTAATTCCTTGTAAATTTAAAATTTTCTCTTTCTATAATGTATGGCATTACTTTCACTTAAAGTTTGAGGGATCAAACCAATCTCTGATTTGTATGAAAAATTTCAGGTTGGTGGGATACATCGTGCGACAGAGTGAGAGTGGCGGTGCAGACAACACCAAGTTCTCCTGCTTTGTATTTGAGACAGATGGCAGTGGAACTGATGTCTGCACAGCTTTAGGAGTGGCAGCTAAAGCTGCATATGACCAGCTCGTAGAGAAGAAAACTTTCGAGAAAAAGAGAAAACAGGAAACTGTGAGTACCTTTTGTCTTGCTCTTGAAGCAGTGTCAATTAACTCCACAATCACTAACCTTGGCTAAGTAAGTGAATGAAATTTGTTACTGACTTTGTCTCATGCAAATCATTATCAATTCTTGGTTATCAGTTAATAATGTAAAGCTGTAAAAATATCAGTTTTGTATCTTTACAGAAACTCCTGTTGGCCAACATAGCCCAGCTTCCAGACATTGATGATCCCCCACAGGTGAGCACTGATGGTCAGTTCCTTATCTTAGATGGTGACCTAAGTGACTCTGCCCCTAGGACACCTCCTGTTACTACACGTAGTAGTGAGGTCAAACCGGTCCCAGATCCCGTAGTGTCTGGTGAAGGAGAGGATCCAGAAAGTGAAGCCTAGCACTCATGACAATCGTAAGGATTTTAATATCCAATGTGCAAATAGAATGAAGCCTTCTGTTTGAGACAATATTCCTGTTGGCTGTATATAATATTCCTAATTTTCTATATAAAATTAGCAACTCTGGCCTTCTACTTCTCTGAAATTTGCCTAATGAATCTAATGTGATTTGATGATATTAACTATCTTAGTTTCCTTTTATAGAGATGTATTATCTTGGGACTTTGCCCTATTGATGTAGAAGTTACACATCTGAAATGCAGATTACAGTAATAGGCTTTGTACTGTGTCAGGTGAGTCAACAGACTTCATTTTTGTATGTACCTTCAGAGCTCTCTCCTAGCTGGTATTTGCACCATTTATTTATTAGTCAGAGGATTTAGTAATTGGAGGTGTGCCAAATAAATCTCATTGGCTCTTAACCTTAATCTAATGGGGAGCTTCTGGTAATTTGGATATTGAATAAATAGTTTTCTTCATGAACTTTTGAGTAATGAAAATTTTTTGAACTGTTGACCAACAAATTAAATTATTTCATTAATTACAGTACAGTACATTGGTTTTTCCAATGTACTGTATAGTGGAAGCATTGATGGAAAATTTGTAGTCACAAAGTTAATGTGTAAATAATTCTTAAAGTTTCAAATTAGTTATACTGTACCTGTATAGTATAAAGTTGAAATTTTGAATTACTCATATGATAAAGCAACTAAATTGTGTGTCCAAAAATTTAAGCCTTTTTGGTCTTCATAATAATAACTAACTTGATAAACAACTCTAAAATGCCTATTGTATCAGTGACTTATAAATGTGTATAATTTTCCTACTCACAAAGTAGAAATGTAAAGGAAGCAAAGCAAAGCTATCATGAGATGTTGTTCCAAGTGGTATATGGTGATCATTAAGTATGATATTATCTGTTTCTAGTTGTTACAGAGCTTCTCATACTCTGCCACGTACACAGTATGATACAAAGGCAGTAACCAAGTATCGTGGCAAAATTACCAGTATCATATCCCATTCTGCAATGGAAAATACTCTGGTGCAAAGCAAATGTGAAATTGCATAGTGTTAGTGAGTTAGTCGTGAATGTATCGGGTAGCTAATTTTGCAGTAATGCAGGTTATAAAGATCACTGCTTTTATTTAAGCAGTCATTTTTCAGGAAACTGATGTTCCAAAGTTGTAAAAAAATTTCATTTCCTTCAATTAGTTTGGAAAATTTTGTTGGTCCTCTATATTATGATTCCATAATCTAGTACAGTATATTAAACCAAAGTCTCTAATGTGTAATGTGTTAAAATCAAATCAGCAGTAGTACAAACAATCTACAGTAAATCTTAGTGAACCGTCTTTAACCTTAAGTTAGATATTTGTTTCATATTTAATCATAGAACACCAAACTTTTAAAGTGTATCAAAGTAAATGTTATCATAAAGCAGCAACAAGGTTGTGTTATTTAACATCGAAATCTTTTATGTGTCTTAATCCCCTTTCTCAATGAAAGGAGTCAAATTTGTAATGAAATTTGTCTAAATCTGGGTATCTTAAGAAACTGAAAACAAGATAATTATACTATACAAAAATAACATGTATACATACACCTAATGCATATTAATAATAAAGGCTAAAATATTTGATTATACTGTACTGTAACTGTATTATTTTGATTTTGTTGGAATATGGAAAATTATCACAATCTTGAGCAAACAATACTTTTGTGAATTTGTAAATGAAGTTGACATGAATTAAGATGTTGTGTGAAGTGTCAGGTGGCAAATGTACTGTAATTCACACTTTGTAGCCAGATTGTCAGTAAATCGATCAGTAAGGAAAGACATTTCTTAGGCTAGCTAATGCAGGCAAAATTTTGAAATAATGTTCTTTAGCAAACATTATGTATATACAGTACTGTATGTGGATAGATAGAAAGGAGCATTCTTGAATTATTTTTTATGGTAAGATCCTCTTAGAAATTTGGAATAGTTTTTGTCTGTAATGGAAATGATGAGAAACACTTATAACAATACAGCATTTGTTCTTTATCATTCCACTGAAACTTTTGCATTTTATTGGAAACATTTTGTTGGTCTTTCTCACCATGTCTCTTTCCTTACTTTACATTACCTATATCTCATGTTCATGGTTGAGTGACTCATACTGTACATCTCATGGCCTATTGGTCATGTGGGCTACAGTCTAAATAATCTTTAACCTTACCTCACCTCTTGTGCTTCAGTGTCATGGTTAGGTTATGTAAAATGGGATTAGGCTGAGGCTTCTTTCATCAGTCACTATCTCGCGTTCATAGCAGAATGACACGTAAAGTTTCCCCAGTGCTTTTGGCAGCTGACAATCTCCCACACCCTCAAATATTGCTAAGCTGTGACAGAGAGAGAGAGGGGGGTGTGACTTAAGGAATTTCGTCATAATGGTTTATCATTTAAATTATAAAGTGGTTGATGTTGGCTTGCCTTAAGAAATATGATTCAAGGTAAATGTGAGGCTTACTTCAACAGGTATGCAGCCATAGATATTTTAAATGAAAAAATCAGTCGTGATATCAGAAAGCCAAGTTTAACTTTGGTGTAAGGATGATGGCTTCATTTAGTCAGACATGGCAGTGCAGGTGACTGGATTAAAATGGGGTTAACTTTTTGTGCTTTGGAAGTTGAAGATGTTAGAAATATGTGTATGTGTATATGTGATGTTTCTGCTTGGTATATCAGTCTTTTTTTTTTTTTAGTACCATCTCCCATACCATTTATCAACAAAGTGAGGTTTCTGCCTCCCTTGATCCACTCTGAGCAAATGTGGGAGAGAGAGAAGAAAGATAATAGGTAGGTTGATCTCTTTATGTAGCTTTAATTACTTGTCATGTATACGGTAGAAATATTCATTAAGATTGTAATTTAGATTTGGAACCAATGTCTTACTGATATAAGTTTCATTGGCAAGGTTTGGTGCAATTGACTATCATGGAGGTTGAGGATGTGAGGAAATAAGTGCAGTGTTTTGTCGTGCTACTTCTGCCCGCTCCTCTCACTGACTACACTTGTTTATCTTGCACAACTATCCCGAACTGGTTCCCTTCTTTTTGAGGCATTTGATTCCCATGATTCCCCTATACACCTTCACAAAAATAGAAGAGGGGGGGGGGGGTGAAGATAAGGCAGATAGGTAGACTTTCCTGAGCTAAATTGGATAATTAGGACTGTGTGTGAATACATCCCTGGTAATTTGTATACCTGATAATTTTAAGCATATATTTTTTTTATGCTCACTGCTATTACTAATATATTTAGATTAATGACTAACCCATGTTTTGAGTTTGTTAGCTGTTTTCATCATTGATGGTGTGAAGATAGTCAGAAACTTAGATGCTGTGGGAAGAATATTTCTATGCTACTGCTTTGAACCCAAGAAGTACAGTATAGTACTGTCTTGTCAACCCCTAAAATGACTGTCATATACCTGTACTGTATGTTTAAATAAGGATTAGTGGTATACATCAGCATTTACATTTTATGGGCAATGTTTATGTAATATAAGTGTGATGAACGCCTTGTATTGATCTTAAAATGTTTGTTATAAATTACAACAAAAGAAAGTTCTCCTATTTTAGTCTGACTGATTTTTTTTTTCTGTACAGGGTTTCCATAAATTATCTGATCCATTGAATAATTCAAAACTTCAAATACATATTTTGTTTTTGTTTTTTGACATTAGAGACCTCCATATGTAAACTATGTTCTGTGTATGTATTATATCTTTGAGGTACAGTATTGAGTTATATAAAAGGGTCAGGTAATTCATGAACATCCTGTATTTTGCAACAATGAAAATTAATTATAACAAATGAAGGGAGAATCTCAGTAGGTCTTGCTTCTGGTCACCCTGCCCCAGTATCAGGAAAAGGCTTGCAAGAGTCAAAAATAAAAATGAACATAGACTACGTATTACAAAATGCTCGAGTAATGGCTATATGGTTGTTAGGCAGCTAACATGACTTGGGGATTAAACTCTCCCCTAGATTATGTTTACTTATTATTTACAAAGGGAAATGCCATAAGTCATTTTATCTAATTGTTTCCAAGTCATTTCCTGCTATGGCACAGGTTATCCAGGATCACAAGCTACATGGTCTCTCATCATTCATTGTCTTCGTTTGTAAGTTTACAATAGATGTTGTAATTCTTATAACTGGTATACTGTACTACTATAATTCCATGTTTAATGTGTTAACTTATTATGTTTGTTGATTTGTATAACCGAAAGTAATTTGTATGTTATAGAGTTTTGTTTAAGATTACAATATGTTCTATTATTTCTCTTCTGTTTATTGTAATGAAAGGTGATGGTTGCAGTAATGAATTCTTGAGTGGTTTATTGTCCATAAACTACTCAAGATTTTGTGAATATGATTAAGACACCCTATTGTTTGCTGATACAAGAATATTAATACTTTACACCTGCATAATGTAATGCCATGGGTGTAGTCAAATCCAAGTCAACCAAAGAAGAGCACTGTATTGATCAGATTATGAATGATAAAAATATTCATCAGTGACCAAAGGAATAACATATGGTCAGGCTTGTTATAAATAATCAAATAATATAGTATGGTCAAAGGGAGTCTATATTATCAGCAACATATTCATCATAATAACCTTCAAAAGTACTGTACTGTATTATGATTACTGTGGTATGAAAAATTCAGTGAATCATCTGGTACTATACAGGATATTATACAGTGAGACCATAGCAAATTGGCCCGAGTCAGCAACACAGTTATATTCACTGTCATTTGTTCTCCCTAACTGCTGTAACAGATGTGTTGTGGAATGAGAAATCCTATCAGACCCCAAGTGTTGCTGGAGTCAGAAAGAATGATTGATGGAAGAGCCTGTGTTGTTATTGGTTCATGCCACACACCACTATACAGTATTGGAATGCTGTTTGCAGGGATTTAAAAAATAAGATCTACAATATTGAATCTTCCATATCAGATACTGTACGGTATTGAGATGTAAATTTTTTAATGTCAGTTATGTATAATGTTGAATGGATAGCAAATAGTTTACATGGTCTTTCTTACAACTGACCTTAACATTGTGAAAGACGAGCATCCTACGTGAAGGTGTGTGGAGAGGGAGGGAGGGTGGGAAGGAGAGGGTCTACTGGCTCAATGTTTAGTCATTTATGTAATGAAGTTTCAGTCTTTTAATTTTTAAATGCAAGGTGGCTAATTTCCTGTCAACTTGCAGGTTTAGCAGTTTATTTTTCCTGATATTTGAAAACAATAATGAAGTTTACAGAGCTTGAGTCAAATAAACAAATAATCATCAGTTAATTTACATCTTGTAAAAGGGTGGTAGCATTCAGGTCTTGTAAGATTCAACACACTTATTTGCTCCAGTACAGTAATCCTTCTACCCTCCTCTGATAAAACCAGATAAGAAGACTGTACAGTAATTACAGTACATATTAATGCACACGGCAGGAGCCTAGGTTATAGATGCCTTATCCAGGAAATGGTATTGAAGGCTACAGAGCATTTTATTTATAGCATAGTTTTCTATTCTGATTGGATTTTCAACAATATAAAAAAGAATTTGTTATACCGGTATATGTTCTATCAAAAATACTTGAAAACTTACATCAAAAGTGTATCTGTCCCTCATAGAATGATTTAAGTACAGTATATATTAAAGTTTCAATTCATATTGTAAGTCTTTGTTGTGTCATGGTGGGTGATTTGATACTGTGTAAATTTACCAATTTGTTATTATGTAACTTGAGAGCTTAATTATACTGAAAAACACCAGAAATAGGGTAAGTAGACTTAGATTTGGAATTGCCTTAAACAGTAGATGATTGGTAAAATAGGTCCCAGTCCTTGAGAGTCCCAATCCTGGTGAACTGTATTACTTAGGGTGGAATCTATTAGAACTGAGGCCAATTTGACCCACAACCATACAGCATAGTTGCTTTATTAGAAGAAACTGTATTAGAAATGGTTACATTAAAATGTTATCTTTAGCAGCATATTACTGATGTTGGATGGTGATGTAAATACTGCTTTTTATACTGGCTGACAATTTTTTGTAACATTTTGGAAGCATTGCATACTGTATATGTAATGGCAAAATAATTGATAACTCAAATCAGCCTTTGCTCTCAATATTCTGAAAGTTATAGTAAGTTGTATTTTCCAAGTGAAGATCAAATGGGTTCCAGTTCTAATAGGTCCCAACCTAACCAAACCATTATCATTGAGGTCCAGTCCGAATGGATTCCTCTCCAAATAGATTCAAATCCTAATGGTAAAATTTAGGTTTATTAGGACTTGGTCCATTTGACATGTGATCATTTTTCCACACTAATGATAATTAAAGACAGAAAGTAATGTTGGAAAGGCATTCAAAGCTTCAGTCATGATTTATTTAAGTAGAAATTGTGAACTAAATGCTGAAACTTAGTGCAATTAGTTATATAGATGAAAGAAAAAGTCTTAAAACAAGTTGAGTCTTTGGCTGCCATATTGCACTGTAGGTACAGACCCTCAAAACTGGATCTCAGAAAGTTAAAGATTTTTTAAAGTTGGACATTATCTTCCTTGGGTTGGGTTAAATTTTCTTCTCTTGCCTGTTCTCACATAGGCCAAGTGACTACCATAATATTAATTTGCAAAACTACGTGAAAACAATAATGATCAAGATATTAGGCTATTTATTCAATCGGACAATAATCGCAAATGAACTCTCTACCTCTGGCAAATGTCACAACTCGCTAGAAGCTTCTAAAATGTAAACAAACCCATTTACTGTAACTCATATAACAAATTTTCTTTGTTATTTGAGAAGTAAAGCGAACTTTTACATAGTCTACTCGTAGGTCTGGGGTAACATGGAGGAGCCAGGACCCAGGAGACCAGAAAATCCTCAAAACCAGTTTGGTCTTGGTCCCAGATTTGAAGGTCTATATTTGTAGTTAGATTTTGCATCCTAAGTACTGTATGTTTCTAATATATTAGATGAATCACTTTCATTATAAAATATATATATTTTTTCCCATTTGGGTGACTTTTAAGTCAAGCATTAGTGAAAACATAGAGTATAAAACCCTAATTATAAGTAAATTGTGCATATAGGCAGTTTAAACTTTACCATTCATTCATTTGGGTTATCTAAAAAGTAGTTACACTGTAGTCTGCTTGAAAGCTGGTGTGAAGCTAAACAAGTGATCAGTTTTGTGAGGCACAGTTTGTAATTATGATAACAGCTGGTATGTTTTACCTTCAACCTTTGTGGTCGACTGTTCTTCATAGAGATGTACTGCATGAACAATTGGTGGTGTTCTTGTCAGTTCTGTGATTATATATACGTACAGTATATGTACACATATATTGCATGTCGCTGTTTCTTGCTTGCTGTGTACTGTAGTGGGTCTTTACATAATGAATTTGGGGGACATTCAATTGCTCTTCATATAATTATTCCAACATTTGGTGAGGTTTTGAATAACTGATTGGGATGTCACTCTCCAATCTAACATGATATTTAGAGAGTTCATACTATAAAGAGGAGCATAAATACCTGCACAGTATATTTCATATAAACATGTTGGACAAATTACTTGAACACAGGAAGAAACTATGAACTCACAAGAATCACATGTCAGATTTCCACAGGAAGCAGGATCTTGATGTGAATGATGGAATGCTAAGATGAAACCTAAGCATTTAGGTTACATTACGGTTGGTTGGTTTGTCATTGAATATATGGTATGTGGGAGATGTCTGTACTGTAGTGCCAAAGGAAATGAGACAAAATGGAAAATTTATCCTGACAATGTTATAATTTAAAATTAGTTTTTCCTGTGTTCTAGTTATTTACCTTATGCAGTACCTGTATGTGTGATACAGTATACACTACAGGTGTCCCTCCAGTTTTGGAACTTTTCGTTTTTTGGGTAAGAAATTTTTAGTTACGGAACTTTTAGTTTTCAAGTGAAGGAATTTCGAGTTGTGAAATTTTGATTCACAAACAACTTTTCTGGGGCATAACTCCTCTGTACCTTGAGGGATGCCTGTATTTCAAATCACCTTTATATGAACTGTTTGAAAACTGTCGAATTGGTCCTTTAGGGTATACTATACTGTACTATAGTATATATATATATATATACCGTAGTGTATACTGCTTATGTAAGTTAGCTGAAACTTTACCCAACCATCTTGCAGAATTCTTCAAGGCATGTTTCAGTCACTGGTGTTAGGTCATCAACACTTGAAATTGAGGACACACAGTCCCTAGCTAAGATGTACGTGCCACCCATTTTGACAATGGGTAATGGTGTATACATTATTGACAAATAGATTAATGAAAATGGGAGCTGTATATAGTATTTTTAAGGAGTATAGTTACTTTTATATTAAATGGATCACAAGAGTAAAAAATAGTGTAGTTTGCAATGTTCACCTGCTCATGTGAAAGTGTCTTCTACCGGCTTGTGTGTTATTTGTCAACACATCAACTTTAATTCACTTTATAACTTACTATAGATTTATATAATTAATTTCAGTTAATTGAAAATTTCTTAAAGAATCAATAGAAAATAACACTCAGGATAAAGTTATTTGCAGTCTTCACAATTTTGAATTATGAAATAAAATTTAGGGGATTCTGAATATGTTTTTGGAAGAGTCATATAAGTACAGTATATACTTTATTGCTGATTATGTAACATGCACATACAGGTATATACGTCTATCCTAGTTGCTCAAACAGATGTTGTTTCGACACTGTGATGTCAAGGTTTCGACTTACTTCCATCCGCTGATAACAAACAGTCGTAGCCACATACCCCGATTACGCCACCTAACTGTGCTCTTAACATCAGAAGACTTCACTTCCAGTTGTAGTCACCTCACGACGGATTGACGGTGTGGGACAGTGGCTAGGGTAGACGTCCTCCCATGACCCTGTATAACAGATCCCCGTTGAATAGAGTTGTGTTTTCTTACACAAGTGTTTAACTACTCCCAAAACAGTTCCCAGGATACAAGGAATAAGGAAGGTATGGACAAGAGATAGAGGACACTGTCTACCAGATCTCTTTGGACTCCCAGATAGTTATACAAACTCTACAATATATGACATTATATTTCTACACACCCAACAACCATTTGTTTTCATAATAATTATCTCTTTCTTTGTGAAGTCACTCATGCCACATATAATTGTGATATCCATTACATAAACTAATGCAGATATGGATATACAGTACTTGTACTGTGGACAGTATTGGTTATTAGCTTTGACATCTAAAACCTCTTGGGATGCGTCCTTTATGCATTGGAGATTTGTCATTTATGCGATATAGTTTTGCTTTTGTTTTCAAAGTCAAAAAATATTTACAGTGCCAAGGAAGTTAATATTAAATGGTTTAACATTTATGACATAGACATGACTGCTGTTTAGAAATGATTAAAATCAATTATTGGTTTTGGCAACAAGAAATTTTCTGCCACTTGTACAGTATATAACTATCAGACATGGGAGAGAGTAGATTTACCAGTATCTTCGTGTGCAGCCATTTCATAATACTGTACAGAGGTTATTAAAGGTTTAGTAACATACAAGGAGTCTAAATTGGTTACCTACGGCAGGACACTATTTTTTACGTACTGTATCTGCTCGTCTTTTTCGTACTGTATAATTATGCTTGTTTTGTATTTTGTAATAGTAGTGAGAGTTACACTTTATTTTAAGAATATGGAATAACCAAAGTGTAGAAAAATGTGTATAATAGACAGGCTCTTTCTTACAATATTAGAAGCTCTCCTAGACATAATTCTCTCATTGATCTGAGATACGCTGTGATTTGAACCTCTTCATTCATTATCATCATAATTTGTATTTTATCTACTTGCTGTTCTTATTTTATACTGCATAGTAATTCCATTGGCAATCATATGTATTCATTTTATCCTAAGAAATTTGCCAGTGATAATCCTTTTGAATATTATAAAGATACACCATTGCTGGTCTCATTGATGATTATCATATCTAGCTACGGTATTTGTTTTATTTGTAAAATATACAAAGCGGCATCAACAAGTATGAAACTGGAGAGGTAAATGTATTCTTAATTTTTTGTAATACAGTAGACCTGTTAAGGTGCCATATTTGTATACTGCATTGAGAAAATTTATTATTTTCATTCACTTATGCTCTTTGTTCCTTATCAGTTGCAAGCTGTTTGAAAGGTTGCTCTTTTCTCAGAGTCTCACAGTCAGCAGGTACTGGACACATACTGTTTGCTCAGGGGCCTGACTGTACCCACCATCTGCCAGTGGTGAGAGTCAAAGAAATGAATGACCTCCTGAATGGTTAACAAGTTGACAAGGGTGAATTGTGTAAGGTAAGTTGTCATGGAAATACTGCAGTAACTCTTGTTTGTGGCGTCACCTAATGTACCGTACGTTAAAGTGTAAACTTTACTGTATTTTTTGTAACGATTAATTAGAAAACAATTATTTTGTTGTATCATTAATCAATAACATACTAGTCATTAAAGTGTGAAGTCTTATTAACCCCCAAAAAACTTTGTGACATTGTAGCTTAACAGCCATTCCTTTGACTGCTCCAGAAGCTGACAGTGATCTTTCTGTAGCTCTTCACTGTCCATTTGATATTTAATTTTCCCAGAATAACTTGGCACAGTGTATATGCCAAGTTATTTAGTGAAGTTCTTTCTCTCTTTCTCTCTTCCCTCTTAATCTCCCACATATTTCAGGAAGGAGGTGAGTTTGAGTGTGCAGTGAGGTAAAACAAAAAGTAAGGAATCTCTAGTATTCTGTTGATTAGTACTCGAGTCGATTTATTGGTCTCTATCCATTTAGGGCTCTACTTTACTTTATCCTCTTCATCTCTGATCGGCTTGATAGCAGCTTGGACATAGGTCACATCTCTGTCTTGCACTGTTGGCAAGTATTGGGCATGTGATGGCTCAAGAATGTTTCTGTATCTGTGCCAATGTTGTTCAAGTCTTGTGTTTAATGAGCTCACACTCGGCACCGTCACAACACTATCTAGCAGATTAATCCAAAGAGGACCCTGGTCTGGGATCTGGCACCTTGTCCAATGCCCTATCATCCAAGGCCTTGCTCACTTTTCCCTTCCCCGTCAGCGACAGGCCATGTGCACCTGTTGTTTTTCAACAGTCTGGAACTAGCTTTGAGTAAGTCTAGCATTTTTTTTTGGGGGGGGGGGGAGTGGAAAGTTAAGTTTATTGTTTAAACACACTCAAATGTAATTGATCCAATTAAACAAATATGTTTGCTTGCGTTTTGATTAACAAATTTAAATAAATGTAATCTTGCTTGACTATTAATTTAGGCATTATTGAAGAGTCATCAGTATACACATGAAAATGCAGTAGTTCAATTTAAACTAAACCAAAAATCCAAAAGTTAAACCAAGCTTGATTGTATGCAGTAATTTGAGAGCAATAGGTCACATATAACTATAAACGTAAGGCAGTGTCGTAAAACATTCCTTGAGTTAATAATTTATACTGTACAGTACATTTACAAGGACCCTTCTACCAGAAGATCTATTTTTGGTACATATTTTAATTCGGATAGTTATTTAACAAGAGTCTACTCAGAGTAATATCGACGTTAAAGTAGTTCATATTTATTTATATATGCCTACAAAGCTATTTATAATTTATTTATAATCAAGAAAGTAAGTGTTGCTAGGACATTATTAGTGTGTCCTGGTTAACCTTGGATGTACCCCAGCGACCGACCCCGCGTCGTCTGCTGCTCGTGTCCGCAACTACTACAAAAGGCTTCAATGGAATTCTTTTACACATAACACTACAGTAGTCAGATTTATCTTTACTAATCAAAATAGGAATACAATTATGAATATATTTAATAGTATAAAGAGGATGTGAAAAACTAAATTCATAATAAGATATATATCGCAGGAAAAGGTGATTGTGGAGAGCAGGAGTTAGGACGGTGGCAACAGCTGATGGGTTGAGGTGCTGTGGCAGGGAGTCTGGGGACGTGATCAACTGTATTTGCTCTACTCTCATCGGCAAGATGTCACTCACGTGCTTTACTAAGTCAACAAGACCCTTTGAAGGCCAAAAACCTGGTACCAGTGGACTAAGGAAGGCTGTCAAAGTCTTTCAGCAGGTAAGCAATATAATGGGTATCATTTTCAGCGTTTGGCTCTTTTAAATCATCCACAATGTACACCATGAAGTAACCACTGCCATTCACATATCTATTCACAAGCTTATTATTCGTTGGTTCATTTTTCCACAAATGTTCTTTAGATAACAGTAAGTAATAAAAAGATATGACTGCACAGAACCTAATAGGCCCTGACCAAACCAAAAACCTACCGAATTTCCTAGCCTGAGCCCCCCGGACCGGTCCGACTAATTACCCAAATGTACCCAAATATAGCCGCAATGAAGTCAAATAATGGTCCTACATGAATAAATCGGACTGCTAATCACTTCTCGACTAGTATTTGGTGTCACAAAGTCACAAAAAATTGGTAAACTTAATTTAATCTGAGTTGTGTTAGGTTAGGTTAGGTACATGCACTTGATCTATTAACTCAGATTAAATTAAGTTTACCAATTTTTTGTGACTTCTTGACACCAAATACTAGTCGAGGTTAGGTTAGGTTAGGTTCGGTACATGCACTCGATCTATTAACTCAAATTAAATTACGTTTTCCAATTTTTTTTTACTTTGTGACACCAAATACTAGTCGAGAAGTGATTGGTAACCATTATTTGACTTCATTGCGGCTACATTTGGGTAATTAGTCAGACCCCCCTCCGGCATATTAAACAGAAAGAACTTATGGTAAGGAAATGTTTCGACATCCCCCTCTGCCCATTTTGCACGTCAAAACTGATATCTCACAAAACACATCCCTCTTACACTGATTGTATGTTTTCTGATGCAAAAAGAGTTTTTATCTTCACTAGATAAATTTTGTTGGGTTGCTGCTAAGGTCGGACCACTCTGCATTTTACCCATCTGTTATCCAGGCAGTTTGGGTGCATAACCTCCTGGCCCAAACAGTCCTGCTGGGGAAACTTTTTATTTAGAAGGTGGTCTGAGAGTGTAACTTAAACTAATCCCAAATAATATTATACCCTTCACACTTGGTCCAGGATTATGATACAGTGTTTTACTTGCCGTTAAAAACGTGATAATTTTCTCGCCACATTTTATAACAGTACACAATATGTGATGATGTACCTTGTTGAAAGTTATTTTAAATTGGCCTCCATATCTAGTAATGTTTCACTTTGATTCATGTTTAATGTGACACTTAATGTGAATTCTTTTCCACAGGAAAATTACACTGAAAACTTTGTACAATGTATCCTAAGTGCCATGGGTGGTTCCTTGACGGGCTGCACACTTGTGGTTGGTGGTGACGGCCGCTTCTTTGGAAAGGAAGCTGTGGATATTATCATCAAGATGTGTGCAGCAAATGGGGTATGTTTATAACAAGTGGTTCAGTTCATCCCAAATAAAGTAACTTGTATGAGAATCTGTTAGCACTAACTAATTACAGTACTATATTATCATAATTTCTAAGGAGCTGTACTTTTTGATGGGCCATTAGTTTTTGCCAAAACATGATGATAGTGAAGAAATTAATGACAATAAAGATGGTGGAAATGATTGTCATAATGTTAGTGAAGAAGCGGCTGGAAAGGAAGTGGCTCGTTGAAAAGTAAGTGATGGAGAGGAAATGCTTGATAGCCAACAACAACAAGTAAGAGACAGGAAATGGAGAAGGTACAAAGGTGAAGTAAGGAATTTAACATAACTCTGGTATTACACCAGAGTTAACCATGGTACCCTGGTCTACTGCAGCACCTCAGTTGAGAATCCTTGGTCTATAGTAAGGTTATATGTTGGAAACTGCCATAAATCTCTTGTAAGTAGGTGAAGGTAGAATAGAAAAGCAGAGGAGGGTCTCCCCACCCCCAACTCTCTTGGTGTCATTGCCAGCTGTGTACTTTACTGTATAGATGTAGAAACATGAAGCAACATAAAAAAAACATGAAAAAAACTTTTTCTTGGGAAAGGACAAGTCAGTGGATTTATGATCATACTTTTCATGCTAACTCAGAGCTACCATTGGTACCTCAGTGGATTACATTTTTGTAACTGATGAATTGAACTCTCAAAATCTAGTGATCATTATCTTCATTAACATTTTACACCCATTTTCCGTGCTTGTGCGACCAGTTCACCACCACAAACTTAGGTACATCATACGTGGACACTGCCTAAGTTCACCAGCTCAGAAACTACAGCAGAGACTAGGGGATGGACACAGCTCTGGTGACCTGGTTGCCATCAGGCATGTTGAAGTAATGCTTGAAACGTATTTTGAAATAATTTATTTAATTCGTAGGTGCGGAAAGTGATTGTAGGTCACGATGGCATCCTGTCAACACCATGTGTGTCTTGTGTGATCCGGAAATACAAAACTGCTGGTGGTATTGTCCTTACTGCCAGCCACAACCCAGGTGGACCAAATGCTGACTTTGGCATTAAGTTTAATATCTCTAATGGAGGTAAGATTTTCAGAAAAATTTAAATAAGTATCATGGAACTACAGTATTAGTTAAGTTGGACATGATGTCTTTCATATGCTGTACAGTGGTCTAGGTTTGTTTCTGTACTTTGAGGTTGCTTCTGTCTCACTTTACTCAAATAGGAATATAAATTTCTATGAGAAGACTCTGACAAAATAAAGTTCAAGCGTGATCACAAAAAGTAGTGAATATAAATAAATATAATTCTATTCTCAGGTCCTGCTCCGGATGGTGTCACCAATGCTATATATGATCTCAGCAAACACATTGTGGAGTACAGAATATGTCCTGAAGTCAAGTGCAATATTTCTGTAATTGGAAAGCAAGAGTATGTGGTAAGGATCTTAATTTCATATTCAGTATACTTGTTGTTCAGGTGATGACAATCAGAGCTAAGTTGATAAGTGCCATAGAAAATTTTACTCTAGCTTTTGACAAATGTTATGTACAGTAGATTGTGCAGCTCGTAAGGTGCAGTTTATGTAGTGAATGAATTGATACAAAATTTAACAGGAAAACAGGACTCAGCTTACAGAGGTGAGTTAACATTTGAACACACAAGTGAACTGACAGAGAAACACGCATGATTTGGCAGTGGAAATGATAATGAACATTTAATAATTTACCATAATAACAAGACTAGGCCCTGCAGGTTCTTCCATGAAATACTTCAGGTATTAAGTATTGCAACATACATTTGTTATAAGATTTTTACCTGTCTTGCAATCTTATACTGGAGACTTTGGTATGTTGGTTTAAGTTACTTTAGTGCACCTTCTCTCCACACAGTCCAGTCCTTTAATAGTATCCCTAATGCTTAGCCTCAGATGCAGTATATACTGAATCCTCATTCTCGCTATATTGTACTGTACACTATTATGTACCTGTATATGATATTGCACATTTAGGTATTAAAAAGGCCATCAGATATACTTTTAATCTATTGCTTCTTCGAGTGTTGGAGAACCTCTGTGAACAGTGGAAGAGGTCATGCCATTTCTCCCAACATGTCATTTGAATTAATTTTTTTTTATTGCTTTCTCACTATTTCATACTTGAATGGAATGGCCAAATTATATATTGTATACAGATCTACATATTTAGTAAAATAGAATAATGTGAGTACAGTAAAGTCTTTGTTGAATACACTCCCAGCATCCACACCATAGTTTTCTTATCTTTAACAGCAGTCTGTGAAAATTATCACCAGAATACCAGCCAGTTATACTTATACCTGTATACTGTTTTGCCAGGAGGTCCAGTATCCCAGGATAACTTTATTTTCTTGGATTTTTTGAGAATAGATTAATTTTAACCAGGGTTAATAAGAATGTTAAAGTGGAGATGTTTTTCCGTAGGATATTTGTGGTGCAATGAAATAAAATTTGTCACTGGTTTCTTGTTATAGGTTGACTCTCGGCCATTTACGGTGGAGGTGATTGATTCTGTTAATGACTACGTGGAATACATGAAGGAGATATTTGACTTCGGCATCATTAAAGACCTTATTCGTGGAGCCTCAGGAACGCCTCTCAAAGTTCTTATCAATGCAATGCATGGAGGTACAGTTTCTTTTGTAAAAGTTTGTTATTTTGGTTAATGTTATCACTTCAGTGCTGTTGGTTGTGAGACACCCCTTGCTTAATCACCATAAATATTTATAATACATTGAACGTAAGAACAAATAACTAGAATGAGGTGTTAAATATTTAGAATATTCAGATAAGATTCATGAAGAATTAGGAGAAGTATTAGAAATGATGAATGCATTAAGGTGGTGTTCTTTTTTAACTTAAAAGAAAAATTTAATGTTTTTCATAATTTGAAGGATTTTGAATGATCATTTACTGCCTGAAAAGAAATGTGAATGACTAGTCAGTGTTATTTATGCTTCTGTTTTAGTGACTGGACCGTATGTTCGCCGCATCTTCTTGGAAGAACTTGGAGCCAGCGCTGATAGTGCTGTCAATATTGAACCTTTGGAAGACTTTGGAGGCAAGTTATTATCTTTTTCCATGATATCTAACAAAACTGTTGTGATGTACTGTATTCTGAAGTGCCTTGACCTGTATGGCTGCACCCACACATGTAGCTGTACAATGTATACGCATGTAGAGTTTCTGTCAATCAAAGGTGTAAAGCATTGTAAGATTTTCAGTGAACCCAAAGTTATGTTATTTCTCCATTTATTGTGATAACTAAAAAAAAATTTGCATTGGGAGAATTTGATGTATGGGTTTGGTTGTCATGTAAGTGAGGAAAACAGGATCATAGTTGAAAATATTAGTGAAAGAAATGATTGACAGTATGAAGCAAGATTGACTGATGTAAGTAAAAAAGTACAGTATAGAAAATCTGTAAATCATTGTTTGTAGAATATACAGTAGTACATAGTGTTACTCTTTGTAGGTCACCACCCAGACCCCAACTTGACATATGCAGCTGACCTGGTTAAGGCCCTCAAGGAAGGAGAGTATGGCTTTGGTGCAGCCTTTGATGGAGATGGAGTAAGTCATTTTCCTTTGTGAAAAGGTTTTGCAGTTTTAAGTAATTTTAAATTTTTTCTCTCAATATATTCAAACTTACAAAAATACTATTACATAGTTAAGATTTATAATTTATAAACTTTTTTAAGATTACTCAGTTTCTTGCCATTTAAAAATGAAAAAAATCTTACACCATGATTCTAAAGGCCATCACAGCCAGGAATGGATGGCAGGGGCCAAGGAATAGTTCAGCAGCTCATTTAGTGTTCTGCTCAGTGAACCTGAATATGATTTACATGTGTATCAGGGTAACAACTGCAAAATTGGTAGGAGGTGCACCAACAAGTATAAACCCTGGGTGCCATCAGTGTAGAAACATGTGTTTTAAAAGCATTGTTAACTCTTATTAAACATTACCGAGTACAGTACTTCAACATCACTAGAGTCCTCTGCAAAACTTGTTGGATTTAAATTGATCACAACTTTGTTTAAGAAAGAACCTGATCTCCGCCTCTACCTTCCATAAGAGGAGACTTGACTACCTAATAGTTCCCCAGTCCCTTTATTCATTCCCAAGAGTAGTAGTAGTTGTACAGTACTATTGTAATTATATTTCCACAACTTTTAGGATTCTTATGTTAATAAACACTGCAGCATCTAGCTGGCTCTCGGCTGTAAATTATAAATATTTGACCATGCAATTAAAAAAGGTAGTAATAGAAGTAACATGCAAATTTTTATAATACTGTACTGTATAATACTATGGAAAATAATTCATTGTCCTTCGTACAGAAAATTGCAATTCCCTGAAAATTTTTATACCAAACAATTGCTTCAAAATTAAATATCTTCAATAATATTCATCTATTCACACATTCTACTTAGTTAAATCTTTTTGCTCACTGTCTTATCAAGCCACCTTTATTTAACCATGTTTTATTATGCAGATATTATTATCATTTGTATTCAAACTACTGTATGTACGTACTACTAACATGTACCTTCTTAAATCCATATGGCATTTAATTCATTTTCATCTGCACAAAATTTTCTTTAATGCATTTCTAACTTTATGTTTTCTCTATGCTTACTGTACATAACTTGACATTACAACATTAACTGATTCTTTTAACAAAATTAGTCACATATATTGTTATGAACAGTCTTTAAAAACAATGAAATTACAGTGGTCCCTCGGTTAACGAGCGCCTCGGTTAACGAGTTGCCTTCCATAAGATTCTTAACTTCAGTTAACGAGCAATCCCTCAATTAACGAGTTTCTTACGAGCCGACCTGAACATGTTTTCGCTTGCATTTGGCGGTCCACCAGCTGTAGTATTAGTCCGCCAATACAGTAATCAGTTCTAGGGCTTAAATTCCTTACCAAATATCAAGAAGTTTATACTATTCAATAATTTTAAAAGTTTAATATTAAATTTTTTAGTCACTTTAACAATTATTGAACATAATTGAAGGTAATGAAACTAGTTTTATGCGCGCCATCCAGCCTCTCAACACACCATACAGGCGTCAGTCTGTGTCTTTTCAGTGGAGGTAACATCTTGCTTGAGAGACTCATCAACTAAATGATTTTTTCTGTGTTTGCAAGCAAATTATTGGTCATTTTGAAATTTATTTTACATATTGACAATATACATTGCAGTGCAGTGTTGATTTAAAGAAAATAATCTTGAATTACACCAAGAGAACTAAAATTTTATGGGTGAAATGGTGCCATGGGGTGACTTCTCTTCCACCCCAATGCCTTCTCTTCTCCCTTCTCCTCCACCCCCATTCTAATTCCCATCATCATCATCCAGGAGCTTTCTACATACACACCTCAAAGTAAGTGTACTTTTCTACATTTTTTGTTGAATTTAGGCAATTTGTGGTGCGCTGGAACCAATTACCCAAAAGCCCATTGAAACAATGGTTTCGGTTCACGAGTTTTCGGTTAACAAGCAACCTTCTAGAACGGATTGTGCTCGTTAACCGAGGGACCACTGTAGTTATAGTTTGTGTGATCAGTGAATATCTTAGAGCTTCGGTGTTTGCAAATTTCATGTTACTCTTTTGCACAGGACCGCAACATGATCCTGGGCCACAAGGCTTTCTTCGTGACTCCCTCAGACTCGGTAGCAGTTATTGCAGACAACACTGACTATATTCCTTACTTCAAAAAGCATGGTGTAAAAGGATTGGCTCGCAGTATGCCCACAGGCTGTGCTATTGACAGGTAATGAAGCATCTTCATATTATGTCACAAATATTCTGTACGAGGTTTTGTTTTCTTCGCTCTTGGATTTTTTAATATTTTTTTAATTATTTATTTACTGTCCTTTTATATACAGTAATAATTATTACAGTTATTATTATTAAGTAAAGTGCTTGACTATGATTCTAAATATTTGTAATAACTTTATGTGATTACTTCATCTTATGTAGCTAAGAATTGATTAATTAGAAAGATTGGTTGATAACTTCTCATCATATTTTTAAATCATTGATTTGAAATGAGGGTTTGTTATTGGAGACGAAGATATTTAAGGTATTTCTTCTCAGGGTTGCTGAGAAGAAGGGGATGGAGGTGTTTGAAGTTCCAACTGGCTGGAAATATTTTGGAAACCTGATGGATGCTGATCGACTCTCCATCTGTGGTGAGGAGAGCTTTGGGTGAGTAACAAGTTTACTATTGTATTTGGTATACGTATAAGCAATCATGTACGACAAGTTCGGATTTCTCATTTTGTTAAATTTTTATTGTTTTAGTCTTGAGGATGTATTGATATTAAGGATTGTGAAACTTAAGGAATCCTTATTGAATATATATATGAACAGATTTGGCATTTTCTTTTAGAACTGGAAGTGACCACATTCGTGAGAAAGACGGCATATGGGCAGTGCTGGCATGGTTATCCATTTTAGCTGGTCGCAAAATGTCTGTAGAACAGGTCCTGCTGAGTCATTGGGACACATATGGCAGAAACTTCTTCACCAGGTACAGCAAGTATAATGTTTATACCTCTATATATATATATATATATATATATATATATATATATATATATATATATATATATATATATATATATATATATATATATATATATATATATATATATATATATATATATATATATATATATAATTAACTACAGGGGAACTTACACATAAATTCCATCTATTTTTTAAACCAAGAGGACATTACCTTTACATGTCTTCAGGAACTACCTTAAGCATATTAAATCTATTGAATTAAGGAAGAGTTGTTTCTTGTGCATCAGGTAACATGCCTGGTGCTGTACTTCTTTTAAGGAACAATGTTTGGAATTTGTTTATTGTAACAAGTGTTGATCACTTGAACATCATCATTATTGATTTTACATTTAACTGAATAACTCCTTGTTTCTGTCAGCTGTGTCGTTTGATGATACCTAGCCTGCAGCTCTCCTGGTTCTGATGTCTAATTTAATGCTCAGTTGCTGTTGTACTACCTGAAGTTTACATTGCTTCCATGATAGTTTTCATTCAGCTTTAGTTTCTGTGCACCATTTATCATGATGCTTCTCTGGCATATTGCTCTTGGGTAGAGGAAGGTCTCTGCTGAAACTGGTCCAAGGGTTAAAAGTTAACTTCTTGTGCTAACCAGAGAACCAGAGTATCACTTGCTGTTATAATTTATATATGGGAATTGTAATTTTATCAAAACAGATCTTTTTGAGTATACTTATAAATATGTTTTGTACATTACTTTCTCTTTGCAGATATGATTATGAGAACTGTGAGAGTGAACCTTGTAATAAAATGATGGCTGTCTTGGATGCCATGGGTAGTGACAAATCCATGGCAGGGAAAAAACTCTCTTATGGAGATAAGACTTACACTATTGCCAAGATTGATAATTTTGAGTACCGGGATCCCATTGATGGTACTGTGGCAAAGAATCAGGTTAGATACTTGTGGCAGTTTATCAAACTTGTTCCTTTTGTTTGGGAATGAGGCTGAACGTTTATATTCATAGCTATATATTGAATATGATGATACAACTCTTTATCACTTTCATATTTATAGAGTCGGTAAACATTTTTAATCCCTTTGTAATATTTTTACAGGGCGTTCGCATATTAATGAGTGATGGGTCACGTGTTGTGTTCCGGCTGAGTGGCACTGGCAGTTCAGGTGCCACGGTCCGTTTGTATATCGAGAGCTACGAGTCAAATTCCTCTACTTTTACAAAGAATGCACAGGTTAGTGGGAAGTGTATTTGATGACTTTAATGTTTTGACCTTTGTTATAATGTTAGAACAGGTGTAGGGATGGATGAGGTAAAGTAACTGAGGGAGTTTTGAAGTGGCCTCCAGTTTAAAACAGTGACAAGGAGACTAGAGAGTTAAGTGAAGTGAGCTTATGAGCCTCAAGTTAAGTGTACTTCAGGAGGACATAAACTTTAAAAGAATTTGGCTTGGGTGTTTATTAGTATGACTGAATGTGCTGGTAGTCTCTCATTGATTATACAGGTACTCCTCGACTTATGACCACCCGGACATACGACCGCCGCAGTCGTATAAAATATTTTTAAAATTACGTATTTTTGAGTCCCGACGTTAGTGATTGCACTGTGTACTGACAAAATTTTCGTTTGTAATTCCCTTTAAAATGGCTGGCAAGCGTAAAAGTGAGAGTTCTCGTGGTGCTGAGAAAAAAAAGAGACACCCATTTTAGATTTTCTATGTATTATTTTAGCATTTTCGACTTACAACCTGGTCGTCGGTTCCTAACCCCGTCGTAAGTTGAGGACTGACCGTACTGAATTTTGTTTTCTTAGTGAAAAATTTAATAGTGTGTTAATTTACTGGAGAGTTAGTAGATAACATTTGCAAATTTTATTTCTTTGTACTCTATTTTCAGGAAGTCTTGAAGCCTCTGGTTGAAATTGCTCTCCAGTTATCCAAGCTTACAGAATTCACTGGACGCACCCTGCCCACCGTAATCACCTAGATACTTTGTGACAATTTGGCCCTGGGAAAAAAAACCTCCTCAGTGAATCCACAGTATTTGAAAGTATGAATCTTAAGCTGCTGATGACATAAGATATCATACTGAAGAAGAATAAAATGCAATTAAGGTGGATAGTGAAAAACTGTCAATTATTATACTGTACACCGTTTATATTTTTGTTGTTCAAATTTTGCATCATATTGGATTCCTAGTTTTGTATTTTGGGCTTCCTTACCAAATAAACCATTTATTATTTCTAGGTTCATCACTGTGGCTGTGGAGGAATAAGTGACAGTAGACTTTGGCAACAGAGGTCAATAATCTATCTTGGTATCCAGGACAGTTAAAAGAAAACTCAGTCACACAATTAAGGATACAATCTTCAATAAAATATTAGATATTGTACAAACCAAAACTTGATCTGTTACAAATGTTGAAATTATATTAAGGTTTATCATATAATGTAAAAAAAAATTACCAAAGAACTATTACAATTTTATATTTTGGGCTTCCTATACTGCACTATATCCAGCCAGTGTGAACTGCTAGTCATACAAAACTGCCGACTGTAGTCATGAGAAACATTGTGATATGCAATAAAAGTTTAATGTTTTATAATTAAACATACTTAAAAAAATTATTTGAGAGATAGGTGTGGAAGATTGGGTATGTATTCAGTACGAGTGTATGACAAAATACTTTCAAGATTTGTCTAAAATATGTTTTTGTTAAAAAGTCTTGAATGTAATTTTAATCTATTACCTAATTTATTATTCAACTTATTATACTGTATATCTTTAAAAAAGGTCGGCTTCATCCTTTCATTAGTACAGGACAGGGAAAAAAATTAATTTAATATTTCCTGACAAGGGTGACTGAGAATAACTCATTGATTGTATTAGGGAGCACTTGATAAAACATGTCTTACATATGTCAGTCAGGTCAGGAATTTGGCTGACTAAACTTAATTAAAAAAAATTGGTATTTTATTCTCCCAGTCATGAAAGATTCTGATACTGTATGAGTATTAAGTTTATTGTTGTCAAAATGGATCTAACTATATTTTTTCTAGGTGTACTCTACTGTACATCTGAAAAATATTCACAATTTTCAGTATCAAACATATTTTATTACTATTTTAGTTTAACATTTTAGCCATGTTCTCCACTTATACTGTACTGTATTATATACTTTAAGTGACCATGACATGTTGGATACCACACTAGTTTCCTGATCAGTAAGGTAGAACATCATTTGGTTCTGTGATATTTCTCGGGTCATTATGGTAAACCATCTGGTGGTAACTCGGACAAGAAGTTATGCCAAGGGTTCAGCATTTCTTATTTCACCTAGACCCTCGCCGTAAGAAAGATTTTATTTTTTCTTTCAGCAATGATTCCAGCCCCCATGTTAACCAATTTTTCATGCATGGTCCTGAAATTTCAAAAACTTTTGTTACTGATCCTTTCAGGTGTACACATTATATTGGGTACCAAAGTAAGCTTCCTTGAAAATTTTAGAGAAGTTTTCTGAACAGTGAGAAATCATACTGAATATTTGTTTTTTGATGACAAAAGATGAAGCAAATATTCATTCACCATAATGCTTTGGCTACCATTGGCCTTCATAAAAAAAAAGGTCATCCATTAGCATAGCTAGGGGGGGGCGGTCCGCCCCGGGCGGCACACACACTAGCTACGCCACTGAGGTCATCCAACTGTTTTTGTGTTGTGCCTACTTGTGTTGCTGCTACTAAAGAGTTACTAGGGCAGGTATGTTCCCAAACACTGGTACACACTCATTGCTGTGCCTCTGCTGCTGGCAGTATTTTGTAGCAATAAAATGTTGAATATTTTTAGAATATGTTTTGGCATGCTGTACAGTATAGGTTTTTTGTTTCCCAAAGAATGAAGGCTTAAAATGTGCATTCTCATACATTTGGTTGTGGATATGGAAGGCAAGTTTTATTAGAAGTAGTAGTAATACTGTACAGTATATTGAAGTGATAACCATGGTAACCTGAGATATTCTTATTACCACCATGCTATTGTACTATTCCAGATGATATTAAATGTTACATAATACTAACTTGAGATAAATGTATAAAGTACTGTAATTACTACAGTATACATTTATCTCAAGGAAGTGTTATGTAACACTTTCAATTCAATTCAATACTGTTCTTGTGATTACTGTCAATATTTTGTAGCAAATATTACCCCTCTACAGGTTTCTTTTAGGTGCCTAGTCAGTTATGTTAATATTCAGCCTATCCTGTTTTAAATGCAAGGATATGGCCATAGTTTGTAACTGCTTGTAGAACCCTGTGTCTCAGGTGCACCAAGTCATAATTGACCGAAGATTTCAACAGTAATACTTAACATTCTTTTGCTTTTGGTTACTTTTTGTCATTTTGTGTTCATATTAGTTTCACAATATCGATCATTGAACATATAAGAGGAAATGTCAGCTTGTGTTTGAGAGACAGTTACTGTACATGGGCCAGGTAGGTACAGAAATATTAGCAATGTTACAAAACAAGTCATTAGTGCATCTAGATCGTTCTATACTACATCTTACTTTTATTAGTATTTGATAAACTGAGGGAGGACAATTTGTTTATATTGTCCATGTATGTTAAAGTATTTTAGAGCCTATATTTTTTTTTGTGACATTCCTTTTTGATAATGCTTAGTTCTCTTCGTGCTTAGTCTAAGTATTGGAACGAAACAGCAGCACCTAACATTGACACATGTTGAGGTACATTCAAGAGCTTGTGCCTGACCAGTACTTGCCAGTGGTGAGATGTTAGAAAGTCAGCAACTCTTCCAAATGGCCAGTGATAAATGTTAAAGGTAAGTGAGAAAAGTCCACTATAAAGAGGTTTTTTTATTTTTTAAAGAAATATGAGAGAAAATGGTTACTAAATTTTTTTTTTAAATTACCGTGTCATTTACTTCTTAAATTGAAGCATAAATACAGTGATATGACTAAACTACTATTAAAGTACAATAGTGGCGTAGTAGCTAAACTGAAGACGGGGGGGGGAAAAACAAAGTAATTCCATATCCATACAATTACCGACATGACCGAAAATTCTCCGGTCCTTTTTTTTTTTTTTTTAAATACCAAAACTACTGAATATCCTATTGTTTAGAACCTAACCTAACATAATTTAACCAAATGTAACTAAAACAAAAGCTAACCAAACGAAACTAAACCTAATAAAAATTAAACTAGCATAATATAATCACACCTAACCTAACAACCAAACGAGTTGAACTTCACTTAACCTCGAGCGAGTTTAGTTGAGCTATTTGTCAGCATATTAACATAAAAGTTTAGGTCAAGATTGTTTAATGATATACGTGAAATAAATTGTGTCTTTATTCCCAGTTATAATACAGTATATCCTTTCTCATTACCCCCACCCCTTTCCTGCCCCCGTATCACATGAGGCAGGTGGTGTGATAGCAACAAGGACATCTACTCTTTTGTTATTCATGTTCTTGTCTTTGTCGAGGCCATATAAATGAGAATAGTGTATTCTGTTGTGAAAGCCGGATACTGATTATGAATTCTATGTGTGTGTGTTATGCTCGTGTGTAAGTATGAGTGTATGCGTAATTGCGTATGTATGTGTGTGTACGTGTATATCTATGTGTGTGTGTATGCCTTCTACCGTCGTTAAACTTGTGACTCAGGCTGATGGTGCCATAAAGAGAAGACCGGAAAAATCACATTGTACACCCGTCTCTCACATAAACAATTGAGAGTCGTCCTAAGATGTCGTGCAGTATTGAGATGAGGTTTTGATAGAATATTCTCAGTTCACAGCTTCAAGTGAGGTTTAGTCAAACTTTGTGTGGTATATGTGAAAAGTAACCCTCCCAGCTTACTTAACTGGTGATTAAACACCTTATCGCTATTTGAGGGAGTTCGGTAAGGTAAGTGTTATGATGGTTAGTCTTAAGGTGAAAATAAGCTGGGATGCCTAATTTACACGTGATCGTTTTCAGTTTGTCCTCGTCTCATGATGTTTGGAGGTGGAAGTCTACCACTTGTGTACAGACATTTGTAAATAACCTTGCTGATTTTTCCCTGGAATAAGTTTATAAATAAGTAATGCTTTTTATCTCATCTCGTGTTTACAGCTGCAGACGGGTGTGTAAACAACCTGTGGGTGGAGTATACTGCATGGTAGCATCCAGCCGGGGGGTGCAGTAACCCGCAAGATGCTGAGCGTTAGGAAACTGCACCCCCACCTTCCCAACTCTGCGTCATAGCAGGAAAACACTTGTGTGCTTGACAAAAAAAAAAGGTGAAAATTATCTCGGGATCATTCAACTCCCTCCTCTTCCGTTCCATGCCCGGGGAGGCTAAGGTAACATCCACGCCCCCATTGAGTGCGTTTCCCTCTCCACGCCTTTGTCTCCCCAAGCGTCACAGCACGACGACGACGGCGTATTCCTCCATGCCCTGGACGTACCCCGAGCACCACGGGAATGACTAGGATGTTGCTCAAGACAAAAGAGCTACCAAAATGGCACCGGGTATAGAGCCAACACGCAAAGAGAAGGCTGCCGCTCACCGCCCTGCATACCCTGCCACCGAGAACACCACCATGAACAGCATCTTGTACACGTCTTTGTAGCCTTTTTCGTATTTTTAGGGATGTTATTAATAAAACACTCATTATTCTAAGTGTTAGGAAGAGAGTTTCAAGGAGGAACATCAACGAAGGAAGTGAAGTAATATGACCAGAAGGAGTGCTGCCCTCTGCACACCTTCACTGGAATCTGAGGACTGGAATACTGCGCTGTCAGACGGAAGACACAGTCCTGGAAATAGATTTGATTTAAGTTTGAGTCTCATTATACGCAATGTTTTCTATTGTACTATAGGTGTGAATTATTCTGAGTGTACTAAAAACTGTTAAAGTAATTCTCAATAAGTATTCGTCGATTTTATTCATTACACGAGATTAATAGTACGATAAGTTCAGTTGAAGTGTCAAGTTCATCTGGCAGGTATCCGACAGTTGATAGTTTCCCTGTGGTGGAAGAAGGGTCGTACAGCAGTGCCCCAGTCATCACCGATATGCAGTTGGTGAAAAAGATGTGCTAGCCATAGTTCCTTGCCAAGCTTCAACAAGTGCTAGTCAGCCCCGTGTGTACTGTCTAAGTGTTGACAATGTTGGTATCGCGGATGGTGATGGTAGTGGCGTTGGCGCCCTACCTGGTATGGGCACAGCTCGGCGCTTCACCTGAGAACTCTACCGTGGAGAATTGTGAATGTTCGCCGGCGTGTGAGGGAGGCGTGGGTGGCGGTGGGTGCCGTGGGCGTGTGATGGCGCGGGAGGATTGTCCCTGCTGTCGTGTGTGTGCCCAACAGGCGGGCGACCCCTGCTCCCTCCCCTCCCTCCCCTGCGACAAGGAGTTCGGCCTCGTCTGCTCCCCCGAGGGCGTCTGTCAAGGTAAGTGTCACCCTTCTGTCCTTCCCTCCTCCTCCTTCCCTCCTGCTGGTTGCTCCCCCTTCCTCTCTCCCCTTACTCCAGGCTGACTACCCTCTCTCCGCCCCTCATGTAGGCTCACTTTTCTCCTGTCCAATAACTGTAATCAATATCACTAACAAAATCAAGACAACACAGTCGATCACTCGCAGTTCGACAGTCACGTTAAGTTTGGTGCTTAACATCACGATATATTTTCTGATATCGCGGTAATTATTTGTTTTCAGTTTACTCTCATTATTTTCGTCAGACTAAGATGATGATAATTGTTAAGGTGTAGAAGATAATACAGGGAAATATTATCTAGCTCAATAACCCTTCCAAATATTATTAATCGTAATAAAAAGATCGCTGTAAAAAAAGTATTGTAAGAACAGTTATAATGTAGACAATAACAATGAATAGAGATGTATGATAATAGTGATGATGATAACGATAACAATACTACAATAATGATTTTAACAACAATATATTAATGGAATGATAATACAAATAATGATAATGATAGCGTTGATAATACTGTACATAGTAATGCAGTAATAACGTATTAACAGTAACACATGTTAATAGAATCCGTATATAGGTGCAACAGATGTACTTAGTATACTGTACTGTATATGGGGAGAGAGAGATGGTTCACTGATGGTGCCCTAGTCTTAAAGAGGTACTGGAGAGGTTATGGTGGGGGGGGGGGGTTGTATCTGTGAAGAGAGGGGTAAGAGGTGTATAATCCTCTCTCACACAGGTGATTAAGGGTAGGTACAGGTGTAGAACTCTCTCCGCCAGGTGTAGATGAGAGGTGTGGTGAGTGCGCTTGTCAACAATGGTTCGTTGAGGTAGAGAGGGACTCGGCAGTAGGCTAGGTTGAACACACGCACATGATAAAGCTTACACACACATGACAGTAGTACACACTTAAGATAATACACACACACACACACACACACACGTTTATGATACACTCAGGGAACGAAGGAGAAAGTATTACACTCTTTAACCACGATTCAAACTTACCTAACCTAACCACGGTTCATATGTTACCTGAGGGAGGGGGTTAGGTTAAGTTAGCGTTAGGGTGTTTAATCTTCAGGTGATTCAACACACTCTTGTCTGGTTGTGTGTGTGTCATCTTGGGTGTCATTCACGTGTCAGGTGTCAAGGTCTCCACAATACGACTTGGCGCTCACCTGATCTTCCCTCTTGCCCAACACCTGTGAGTGGCAGCCTGATTATATTACGCTAGTGTTTGGCCATTGCTTCATGACATACATACATACATACATACATACATACATATATACATACATACATATATACATACATACATACATAAGTGATTAAGAGTATCTTCTGTCTCCTCGTAAAGATCAAATAAGAGAGAGGGGGGGGAGGGGGGACGTCACTGCCACCCTCACACTGAGCATGACAACAGCAGCACCTGATGATGGACCAACACACAGCAGCAGCGAGTGTACTTATACGTTGACCCATGGCAGTAGCGGGGCCGGTATAGTGTGGGGGGGGGGTAATTTCAACGCTGCTGCCCCATCCCAGGATCATCTATACCACCACCCACACTACCACCGCTACCACAACCACCACACAAACACTCAGCATCAAAACTATCACAGCCTACACACTACTACCACACACCTACCACCAACAGATAGATATTTATTTTTGTAACTGTTATACGTCTCTCTCTCTCTCTCTCTCTCTCTCTCTCTCTCTCTCTCTCTCTCTCTCAGGCAGGTGTGGTCAGCCTCAGGTGTGTGTGGGGTGACCTGGTGCGCCTGATCAAACTAGACTCAGGAACCTTGTGTTACTCCCTCTGCCGCGCCCTCCTCACGCACCACACCCACAACACCCACGCTCATAACATTTCTTTAACCCATAACACGTGTATAGCCACCCACACCCATGGTACTGAACCCACAATACGTCCCGACACCCATGCCCATGACATTTAGTTAATTCACAGGGGTTGGCATCGTACTCAAGGGGTTAAATCATCATACTCAAGGGGTTAAATCATCATACTCAAGGGGTTAAATCATCATACTCAAGGGGTTAAACCATCATACTCAAGGGGTTAAATCATCATACTCAAGGGGTTAAATCATCATACTCAAAGGGGTTAAATCATCATACTCAAAGGGGTTAAATCATCATACTCAAGGGGTTAAATCATCATACTCATGGGGTTAAATCATCATACTCAAGGGGTTAAATCATCATACTCAAAGGGGTTAAATCACCATATACAAGGGGTTATCATCCACATTTCACTTCACCGACTGACACAGAGGCTGTTATCATTAAGAACATCACCCCTGAGATGTCATGGCCTCCTCCCCACCGCTTCAACACCTATTTTCAAACAAGTACACAACAGCAATGACACAGTTCCTCCAGCAGTTTCCCGTTGGATGTTAGTGTTTTCACAGCTTGTATAGATCACAGATGGGACGTGCTTCAAGTATTGTTGAGGGAGGTGCGGTGGAGAGAGCGGCCTTGTGTTGGTTTGGGGGCTGCGTGCGGGTGCGGTGTGTTGATCTGCGGTATTTCATGTTTACCTTCTGTTGAAATGGGGTGTTTCTGTGAGTCGGGAGGGAGGGGGTTGTGAGGGGTGAGGGTTGAGGGAGGGCGTGGTGAGGAAATAACGATGGGGTTTAATTATTCGATTTAATTACAAACTTGAAGGTGGATATGTGATTTGTTTACGCGCGTGTGTGTGTAGTGTGTGTGTGTGTGTGTGTGTGTGTAGAAAGTGTCAGATACGAACAGTCTCGTGTAGGGGTGTCAATCAATGTCAGCTAACCAAGTCTAAAAATGACAGAGTAAAAATGTATGTCAGTTAAGGTCAAGCAGCAAGAAATGATAGATATGGGTCAGCCTTCATAGGTGGGTGGGGGAGAGAACCGCCCCACCAGTAGCCTCATCAAGGTCAACCTCCAGAACTCACACTGTCTAAACTGAATGTCAATGTCAGCAATACACTAGAATACTACCTAAGCTAACCTAACCTGACCTAACCTAACCCAACCTAAACTAACCAACCTAACCTGAACTAACCTAACCTGAACTAACCTAACCTAACCTAACCTAACCTAACCTAACCTAACCTTACCTAAGCTAACCTAACCTGACCTAACCTAACCCAACCTAACCCCATTAGTGATACCTTGGATTGTGTTGTCATGGTGTACAATATTATCAAGTTGTTTTTAATCAATACTTTCATGGGAGGGAGAGGGGGGGGTATCACTCCTGGGACCATAGTTTATAATTTCAGTTTATTTAGCCTCGTCTCTACTCCTCCCACCACCCTCCCTTTACCCTAATTAATGGCTAAAGTACTGTATATAATTGTTCTTTTTCTCTAAATTTCTTATATTTTTCTCGTAATTCCTATTTGTATTCTTCTCTCGTGTCTTTTTCCGATATTTGAGTACACATCCTCTGTTTAACGGATTATATGGAGAGGAAAGTCCGTTATGTTGATGATCCGTTAGATGTGAAAGTCCGTTATATCGAGGATCTCTTTGAATTTATCTCCTCCCCCCATCTAACGGATTACATGGAGAGAGAAAATTCCGTTATATGGAGGTTTCACTCTCGGTAGGGTCCTCAGGTCTCCAAACACGAGGGAATTTCAACTTTAAGAATCTCTGTGAATCCAGGTTATACGCTGAGGCCCACAACACTATACCTTCACCTCTGCTTTCCTTTTCTACGAGTCACGACGCTGCCCCCTGGCCCTCTGTTTACACACAACATATGGGCCGACGTGTCTTCCGGCCACTTTGGGGAGAATCCAGTTCCAGTCGCTTATGGTTTCACGTGAAGATTAGGCACCCCGATATATGTCACCTATCTTGATTGAATACATATACTGTTTACCCATTGTTTGTATACCTGTGTATGTATATTGTATGCCTTTATTGTTTATATTTGTGTTGAATCAATGTAAACTTGTATGATCATTTTACTGAGTGTTTACTTGTTGGTCTGATTGTTATTGTTACTTTACCTGGGTGAAGAGAGTTTATTTGCCGGGTCTGTATAAAAGATGGTATCGTGATATCGGTGTCTCGGTGGGGTGGTCGAGGGCTGTGCAAGACGCCGCCTTCAAGCAAGTCTCTCCCGTCCCGCGTGGGCCGTCTTTGTGTCGCCCTGGGTTGAGTGTGGGGGACCTCCTCCTTTACTTCACCTGGACCCAACCCTCTCCGGCCCCTAGTATATCAAACCACCTTCCTGAGTGTCTGATCAAAATTTGTGGCGCTGTGAAGTCATTAGCGGAGTTGTGTTGGCCGGGGAATTACTGGTTGTTGGCGATGGACAAAAGAGATTGCCTGGGGAGCGCCCTGCATTTAGGTCCCCTTGGCGCCTGGACCTGACCGAGGGCTTATTGTGAGTATCACTTTTGCTCCTTGGCGATAGAGAGATATTTACCAGATTTCAGAAGTGTGTTTGAGGGACATTGTGGCCGCTTAGGTTGAGAAGAACAAGTTGTGGCAGTGGGGTGAGGGAGGCGCAGGTGGGGGAGGCTAGCCACCCGCACAGGCTAGGTGGCGGGCTCCTCAGGGCCTGTGTGTCCTCCCGAACATTATCACTTTTTTTTCACACTTCCTCTGTGGTAGTGTTGGAGGTGACGGTGGTACTGGTGGTGTTGGAGGTAGTAGTAGTGTTGGAGGTGACGGTGGTACTGGTGGTGTTGGAGGTAGTAGTAGTGTTGGAGGTGACGGTGGTACTGGTGGTGTTGGAGGTAGTAGTAGTGTTGGAGGTAGTGGTGGTGGTTGAAGCAGGGCACCATAGTCACCAGTAGGGCGGAGGTGGTAGCGAAGGTTCACCCTGGCTGACGTGAAGCTGGGCACGGATTCCCCAGACAGACAATGAACACCTGAGAAGAAGAACGTAGCAAAGTTATTACAGTATTGAGCTTTGTTGCCAGACTGTGTAAG